ACCCCAGGGTTCACCTCCTGGGCAATCTCGAATTTTGTCAAAATGTTTTAGTTTTTGACTCAAACTGACACGGAAAATTCACATTTTGACAGAAATATTTATATTCTAAAATGTTCTCCAAATGTCCTAAGTTTATGAGAAAAATGCAGGAAAAGATACAATTTAAAAAAATAATTTTACAAAAATTTTTGTCAAGCTTTTTAAGTTTTTGACTGGAAATGACAACATAGAATTAACCACAAAAATGGAAATAGCTAAGTATTTTAAGTTAAATGAGTGCATTTTTTAGTCATTTTTGAAAACCTTGTTTGAATTAGTATTGGTAATTTAATTAATATTTATTATTATTAAAAAGTTTTCTAATTTGAATGATTTCATTAGAAACCAACTGCAATCAAAATCATACACTTGTATTACCGACTGTGCTTTGGTACTGCTCTACGTTGAAACGTTAGGTATCTGGATGGATGCTAAGCTAGGCGAAAATAATCGATATCATGAAGGCACAGTGGCGCTTTGGCCCAGAGGCACACCTGACATTGGTGTGAAACCCCAGGGTTCACCTCCTGGGCAATCTCGAATCCCAATATGTCTTTGTGTCTGTGTGTGTGTGTGTGTGTGTGCGTGCGTGTGCATGTTCCTGTACTGCATGACTTGTGCCAACTTTTCCTCATATTCAGTCGTACTCATGGGACAAGATGAAAATCATTGCAAGGACAAACGGTGTGTACAAAAATGTGAAGGACTGCACAAGGGTTAACATAGCAAGTTTTTAACCAAACAATAAACATAACATTTGGGAAACACAGGCAAAAAGCATACTCTACTTACCACCACATGCTTTCGCAGGTTTGACGTGGACGTTTTGAAAAGCTGACAGCTCCATCCGCCGGGGCAGGTACATTTTGCATTGCACGATAAAAGTTATTGCCTCGTTTGAAAGAAAAAGAGCTGGCCAAGGATGTCCTTTCCCTTTCTGAGTCATCTTGCTTGGTAATCCTCAACCTCCATTATTTGTTCGGCACCAGCCATCATCCAACAACAGGCTAGAGTTTGTCCACTTAACCACGTTTTCTGGCTTCATTAAAACAGCCCGCACACCCACGTATAGTGAATACATTATGATCAATGGCAGATGTTCCAGAAAAACATTATTTTCTATCTTTTAATTAAAATGTCTATGACTACATATTGTATTATTTTGGAATTATGTTAATAATGTTGAATATTATTTATAAAGGGCCACTGTGGCTGCAGGTTTTTGTTCCAACCAAGCAGCAGCACACCAGACTTTTAATCAACTGAACTGAATCTCCAGACAGCTGATTGGTCAGTCACTGTGCTCTGGATAGGTTGGAACCAAAACCTGCAGCCACAGTGGTCCTTTGTGGAACAGTTCGCCAACCCTCCTTTAAATGTTTATACTTTGAATTCTGAATTTGACTTGAGCTAAACTAAAATGTCTAAAACCTGCCTGCAGATGGTGCTAAATGTCACAAATGACTGACTGTCCATTTGTCCAAGGCCTTGTTTTATAGGCCAGACTCTTACAGACCAGATTTGTTTCAAGTGTTTTTTTTAAGGTGATAAAATGTAGAGTAGAAGAGCACAGACTTATTCAACTTTTTCTATTTCTCCTCTTTTCCACTTAATGTTGGATGAATATTGGTATATTTTAAACACGCAATCATTTGAAAAGCAGCTGCCAAATTGTGTAAAAAAAATTCTAATGAAGGAAACTGAGTATCACAAATGGTTTTCGTTGTTTAACAGTCTTTACTGCATGTGTGCACAGTTCATAGCATGCTGGCCCTGGTCATGCTGTACATATCTGACGATGGCCACTTTAAAACATCTTGGTAATAAAAAATACATTTTCATGTGTTATTTTTTTTAAAATCTTATAAAATAGTGGTAAAATATTTACAAGACCACTTTTACGGAGAAAAAAAAAACCTTTACATCTAGAGTACCTCAAATAAAAGCCGATTTTGTGCAAGTAGAATACCAAAACCAAAAAACCCACAGACGTCATGAAAGTACGCTGTGAGTTCTACAGCAGGGTAAACGACAGCAGGAGCAGTGCTGATTCAGCAGATTCACAAGCTGCAGTGCAAATAAGTGTCACTGTGATGATCTTCTGAGGACTCAGAGTGACAGTCTGAAGTTTGTCTGTACACAGGTCCAGCGCCCTCTACTGGCCACTGACCGGCAGCTCCTGAAACACAGAATTTTAACAAGTTATATTAATGCTGGGTAAAACCTTTCGCTGTCTAAATAAAACAAAAAAAAAAACTATTAATGCTGGGTAAAACCTTTCGCTGCCTAAATAAAAAAATAAAAAAAACTTGTATAGCTGTAGCAGGTGCATGTGAATAACTGCTCAAGTAAAAGTACCTTAGGGGTAAGTCAAAAGTACCATAATAGTTTATTTCAGAAGGTGTCTGAATTGAACAATCAAAAGATGTTCATACAAGTTTCACAGGCTTCTCCTCCAGCTTTGACTAGCTGTTGTGAGCTGCGTTGTCTTTTAGTTAATCAGGTATTTTAAGCATGCAGAGCAAACAACAATATATATAAAAAAAACTGTTAAAATGCTTTTGAGCTTCACAGTAGGATTGTTGCAACAGCAGCCTCTTTTCACTCCTCTTCCTCACATCCACTAACTGCTCAGTAAGATCAACTTTACCAAGCAGCTAAGTGACTCACACACATCTGTGGGAGGTCTTACTCCCCCACCTATTGGGTGATGACTGAGGTGAACTGAGGAGCTGTACTACACCAGTAAACCTTTTACCTGGCTTAACTAAGGCCATTAACCACTGTCCCACTGCGTTACTCTTTTTCTTTAGTTATATCATTTCTAACAGAACAGTAGAAATGATAAATTATCTATGTATATGTGTATATGGACAATTACAACCAAGGGTTCTTTTTTCTTCTACTTACACAAATGTTCAAAGCAATAACTGTATGTACTACAAATCAGCAGCTCTGCAGCAAACACACTCTCATGACTGAGTGTCAATCAATAACAAACTACAGCACCGGTCCAAATCCAGCATATCTCCAACACAAGCCATCAGTCATTGCACATGCATCTAAGTGACCGAAGCGTGAAGCCAAATAAAAGTGCCATGTCTACTGCCTGTACATGAACCCCTATGACGGAAATAAAATGATGATGTTCTCAATGTCAAACCTCAGAAACTGGCAGCACAGTATCATGCTTTAAAATGTCTCAGCAACAAAACAAAAGTCAAGCCCATCCTAATGTTCTTTCTACTGTGTCTTCTTGGACACAGTATGAACAGTAGGACTAATGGCATCACTGTCAGATGATTCATGCAACATGCATGTGGTCACTGTCAGGGTCTGCACTTCAGCCACACTAACCTTGATCTGGTCCAGCAGACGGGCCTTTCAGACCAAAGAGGGAACAATAATTTGTCTAATCATGTTTTACAGAGAGGATCAGAGGAAAGAGAAGAGTGACTCACTGAAAAAAGACACTTTCTTCCACCAACAACCCCCCTCCCCCCCAAAAAAAGAGATACAACTTTTTATGAACTCACCTCCAAGTTTCCTCTGGCTTTCTTCAACACTCCATGGGTCAGAGACACTGCAAAAAGTCAAAGTGTGCTAAAAGTTAGCAAAAAGAACTAAAAAAAAAAAAGTCAAGAGATAACTATGAGCTAGCAGCTAATAGATTGCTTGTTCAGAAAAAGACAACTGTACACTGATCAATGATGACTCGCTCCATTCCTTCTTTCAGCTGGTTTGTTGTGCGCAGGCGTTTGACGGCTCCACTCAGCATCCTCTCCTGCTGCGACAGCCTGCTCTTCAGTCTGGAAATCTCAATCTTCAACAGCTCATCCTGAGGAAGGAAATTAGAAATGAGATGTCAATATGTGTAGAGGTCATACAGGACATACTGCACCTACTGGGTTTATTTTATACTGGCAAAAATTGTAAATCGTCTTAAGACTCATAGTGGTGTGTATTGTTTGAAAAAAGTCGAGAAGTTCTAATTGTTAATTTTTAAGGGTGAAAACCCTGATCAAATTATACTTAATACAGCTCATCACAAACATCAAAACATTTTTTGGACCTACCCTTGTAAAATAGGAATTATTTTATAGGAATTATTGACCTATTTTGTATACCGTCCGTGTGTGTTTACCTGCTGGTTGTCTCCACTGTCCCCTGTGGTGCTAACAGTTGGCAGTGAGACCCTCCACACCAGTTTGAGCAGTCGTCCAGCTTCATCTAACACCTGCTGCATTGTATTCATGCTGCTGGACAAACTCTTCAGATGCTGCTGTTCTATGACCTGCAATGACCACAATGACAGTGACTATATATTTCAAGGAGTGAAAAGAAAATTCGCCCTTTTTCAGGAATTCCAGGTCATTTAATTCTGAGCATGTAGTGATGTTAGCTCCAGTGTTCTGTCACCAACCAATCATAGTAAACTTTGAACATTACTGCACCTTGTTTTCTGCACTCTGCTGCCTTAGTGTGTGCAGACACTCTTGCAGCTGCGTGTCCATGTGTCGGGACAGTTTACGACCCTCTGAAATCTGCTTGCGCAGAGCGCTGTAGTCCTCAATCAGGCCCAAAATATGACGACCATTTCGATTGGCCCACATCCTGTGACCTGGCACCAGGCGAGAAGGAGCTCCAGAGGTGCTGTCACTGGAGCTGCTGCCACTGATAGAGCTGCCATCTACGTCTGAGCGAGTGTGACGTTTGTCGTCTGCAAACATTCGGCTCCTTAGATTAAATGTGACTGTCTGTGTTTGACAATATTAATGAAGCACGTGGTCTTACCATGAAGAACACCTTCACGACCCAGGGACCTGCCACCTTCATCTAAAACAAATGTGAAAATCAACACCATGATTAGACTGTTATCACATGTCAGTATCAGTGAGATGGTCGGTATGTTGTTACCTGGTGAAGACAGCAGGTAGTTGATGTTGATGGTTTCAGACCGGTTGGCTCCTCTGAGCAGCTGCTCCTCCAGCTTCTGTCGTAGAGCTGTGTTGGTCTGGATGCTCCTCTCCAGCTGTAGTCTTAGCTGTCGGATCTCTGACAGCAGCTCACTCAGGTCCACTGAGCCAGAGGAAGAGACTGGAACCGACTCTTGCGTCATCTCGCTGGACTCTGGATTGAGGTAAAATTTAATCTCATCAGTGATTCAGAATGACAAATAAACAAAAGTAGATGATTTCTTTTATTCCCAGGCAGCCACATATTCCTATGCAGATTATATGATATGTTTTTTTTCTCCAATCATTCTGCTCCAGATTTGACTTTTTTTCTACATTTTTGAGAACTACAAAAAAAGCAGTACCATGTTTTTGAGGGTCTGTTTTCTTCCACATCTTTTCATGAACCTGCAGCTCTACACGCAGTGACTGGAGCAGATGCTGGGAGTCAGAGAGCTGCTGCCTCTGAACCTTCACCTCAGACTGTAACCTGGAATTAAAACAAAACAAGGAAAAACATTCACTGACACCAGAACCTAATGATGTATTACAGAGACTGGGGAAACTGAAAAATGTTATCCCTTATTATTAAGGCTGAGACCACATAGGCAATCAAAAAGATTGTGGAATTACAGATTGATAAAAAAAAAGGCACAGCAGATAAGTAGCATTCATTTTAACATTACTTCAAAGGTAAATAAATGGCCCTGAGATCACATTCATTTCTTGGGTGCATTTTGCAATGTATGTGTTTTAAAGGTTAACAAAAGAAAAACAAAAACAAAACAAAGCTCAGCAGTTAGAGTGATGCAAACTAAATGAAATGTTTATCACTAAAACAAAGAAGAAAAACAAAAACAAAACAAAGCTCATCAGTTAGAGTGATGCAAACTAAATGAGATGTTTATCACTAAAACAAAGAGTTTTAGAAAAAAAGTTTCAGATAAGGGAACTGACAACAGCACACAGGCTGCTGAAGAAAGTGATCCGACGGTAAATTAGACTCTAGGTTTTAAATGTCGACCTGATCCAACTGTGTCCGTAGAGGTTGGGGTAAGAGGTCACATCCTATCATCGCAGGGTTTGCATGCATCAGCACATCATAGGGTATCATGTTCCTGAGTTGTACTAATAGTATGAATAAATGGGACCAGTAATGAGTCTTCATGTTGTCAATTAGCAGCTTAGCCTGGTTTCAGGTTACATGGAGTAGCAGCGGCATTCTCTGGACTACAGGGGTACATTTAGATGTGTGTGGTCCACAGCTGCTCAGTGTGTGTGTGTGTGTGTGTGTTTGTGAAGGGGGGGGGGGAGATTAAGGGGGTTACCTTTGAAGCTCCTCTTTGCTGTAGTTTAGTGAAGCCTGTAAATTAGAGTTTTCTTGGCTGATGTGTTCGAGTCTCTCCAGAAGTCGGCTGTTTTCCAGCCTCAGCTCTTCAGTTTCTCTTCTGCTCTGGTCTAGTTTGGCAGAACGTCTGGCCAGGGTGTCCCGTAGCTTCTCCACCTCTTTCTGCTTGTCTGGAAGACAAAGGTATCTAAAGCTTAGTCTTGTTAAGGGGTTTGTTATCTTAAAACAGGAGCGGTGAGAATAAACCAGTTTGAAAATATTGATCTTGTTCTACTGAAAGAAACATTTACCCCTAGACACTATGTTCAGTTGTTCTTTCAAGCCTTGACTCTGTCCCAAGAGGAATTGCACCTCATTTGCCAGATGACCTGGCTCCTCATTGCCACGAATGAAGATGTTGGTGGCTGCTGAATTAAGGAAACACATACACACACACACACAGATACAATCTTTCACCAAGGCATCTAAACACTAAACAATTTTGCACAAAATTTCCCACACTGACAACAATTAGAGAGATGTGGACAGGGTTCAATTTAAAACATGTACCTGAATCATTCTCCACCTCTGCTAATCTCTTCTCTAGCTGTTCCCTGAGTCGGTCGTTGGTGCGGATGCTTTCCTCCAGTCTTTGTCTTAAAGCTCGGATCTCCTGCAGATGTTCGGCAAGCAAGTCTGGCAAACAGATGTAGATTTGGTGATTTAGTCACAAAAGCAAAGGATATTTGTCAAAAACACAAATACTGAGTTGCAAAAAATAAAACAGAGAGGCGTCTGTTATAAACCTGGGTTCATTATGTGGCTCTGTTCAGCAGCCTTCTTTAAAGAATTATTTCCATCTTCTTTAGGCGCTTCAGTCTGAGTCCCTGACTCCTCCTTGACTTGGCCTTCATCCTGTTTCTGGTTATGGGCCATAAATGTCTGATGCAGGTCCAGTTCACTGCGCAAGGTGGCGTTAAGCTCCTCGCTGCTTTTCAGCTGCTCCTGCAGTCGCTCGTTCTCCCTGTGGAGGCCCTGCAGACTGCTGGTAGCGCCCCTGTGAAAGGACACGCCTTCTACCTCAGCTCCACCTACAAGAGGAACAGGAGTTCCCATCCAATCGGAGGAGTGTCGCTGGCCTAAACATATGGAAAAAATAGAATTCTTAATATCTATACACCATTTGACACAGAACTAGACGTATAGGATATATAGGATATTTGAATTTGGTAAAGCACAGGCCCTTCCAGAGCCTCTATGGTTACCCACGTTCATGTCAACCAACATTACTGCGACCTGGGTCACTAGGCTGGTATAGGATCCTCCCACAACCTTTCCCCCTGACTTAGCCTTCACTATCTCTTTTCTTCAGAGGAACAGAATTTAAAGAGTGAACTGGATACACGGCACTGAATAATGCAATCACTAGTGTAGGTGGATTGAAACCAGACACTTTTTTGCCATTGGTTGGTCTGCATTGTTCTGCAGAATCCCTCATTGATACAAACTGTATGTGAATGGAAAAATGGCTTCTCTTCAGGTCCTGAATATCCTGCTGCTTCAACCAATGGTGCAAGTAAAGTAACATGCATTTCTAATTAACTAATTGTTTCTAGTGTAGCACCATAGTATCCTGTGACATACACAGTAGCTATAATTGGTCTCAGCTTTTCAAGTCACATAGTTTATATAGACACATGACCACATGCAAATGCTTACTTTGAGGCCGAGTGCCACTCCGAGGGCTTTGGCCAGAGGAAAAGGTTCTGTCAGAATGCAACAGATCTGAGTGAGAACTGTGGTGGCTTCGTGGACTTTTAGTCCTGCTCTGGCTCTGCAGACTCTGGATGAGATTATTCTTCTCCAGCAATTCCTTTGTTAACCTGAAGGAGAAGGGAAAGCAATGAGCCATTTCTTTCTGATTTATAACATTATGTCACTGTTAAAATCATCATCCCTGTTTTAACAGTGACATAATGTTATTGGTTTGTCAAGAAGGAAACACTCACACAGACACAGAGAAAGGGAACTGCCCAGTGAAGAAAACAAGTAAAGAACAAAAAAAAGAAAAGTAGAAAAATTAAAGATTGTAGTGAAAGCACGCTGCTGGTAAAATATATATTCCTTTTAAAAACACAGCAAACATCATGCTGTCTCTCTGGATCGAACCCACTCACAGGTCCAGTTGCTCCCTGGTGAATTCAGCCAGAGTGAGGTTGTGCTGCACGAGGACACAGATGTTGTGCTGTAGCACTTCTCTCTCACCCTCTAGCTCCAAACGCAGATTATCTAACTCCTGTTGGATTCTAGCCGGGCTGTCAGGAGGGTCAATCAAGTCCTCCTCATATGACAGCTGAAGCTCCGGAGGACTGCTCACATCAATAATGTTACAGATGAACATCACTTTGAGCTATTCATGTTTTTATCCACTGGGATAAAAAATGCTCACAATTTGAATTTTATTAAATTTAAAAAAAAGAAGATGCAAAGACCTCTAATTTGATATGTACTTATTTTTTATACTTTTTGACAACAACTAGCAAATTATTTGTTTTCCCAACAATAACTGAAGCTGACACGTCCTGTGAGTTTTCTTTTGTTGATGTCATTTTGATTACCCTGTCAGGGTGACCTTAATCTTTTAGCTGGCATACAGACAAAATGAGGCCAGACAGCTTTTTAAAACCACCATCACATGCATCACCCTAGGTCATTCAGCAATTGTCTGGGTGGAGGCTGGGAGAGGGTGTGGGGAAAGACATTATTGGAACAAAGGCACAACACAGTCGCATCCTAGATGTTCCATGATGTTATTAAAGCAACACAGTGCTGGTTGGTTTACTGTGGATAATGTAGTGATGAGAGAAAACTCAACACATATATGTACAGATATTTTAACAGTTGTCATAACATGTAATTCTGCTCTTTTTATCTTTACATTTTTAACAGTGATGCAGCTCCTACACTTAGTTGTTTTTTTAAGAAACCAACACTAAAAACTTACTTATTTAGATTTTGAAGCGACAACCAAAGACAAGAAAAAAAACCAAACAATGGACATAATATTTAAAATTTTTGCTTGCAATCATCAAAAAGAAATCTATTTACTCTCTTACTCTTTTTCATCATTCTTTCTTTAATCTATTGTGGGTTTAATTCCTTTAAAATATGATGACAAATAATTCATTATTTATAGCTTAGGAGGATTTCTGTGTTACTAACAGATGAGATGGTTTGGAGATTTTGGTTAGCAATAAGCAGAAAAGGTGTGAGTCCTACCTGCGGGATAGTTCTAGAGCTGTCACGTCCTCATTGTCCAGATGAGAGTCTTCTATTAGACAGAAAAAAGGACACTGTCAAAGACCTGTCCAATTAAATCAAGTATAACCATTTCACTTTTCTCTCCTGCTCTGCATTTTCTTTGATGGCCTTCAATATTTTGGCACAACAATCAGTCTTTATAACAAGTTCCATATTTAATAAATATGCAAAACATTATCAATCACTATAGCACTAAATCTGCAGCTACCTTTGTCCAGACGACCCTCGAGCCTGTCCACTAGACATAAGCTCTTTTCCAGCTGTTCTTTGACCATTTTTCCCATGTAAAAGTCAACATTATGAGCCTGCAGCAGCTCCTTAAAAGTTTTGCTCAGTTCCTCTAGCTGTCGACGTTGCAAAGCTCCCAGTGCACGGCTTTCCTTGATCTGCTGCCTCAGTTGTGACAGCTCTCGGGCCTGCGACTGTACCAGGGAGTCCAGCCTGAATAGAGAGGGGAAAAAAGAATTGAGAGAAATAAATGTAAATCAATTTTATGCATTGAATATTGTTTGGAAATTAAATATTAAAAACCAATGCAGACTTAGCAGGTGATGTAGAGCTACTGCGGGTGTGGGACAGCTGTTCAGATGTGCTTCTGTTCAACGACCTCTCTCCTTCCAGCTGCATGTTCAGAAGACCGGTTTTATCCTTCATCACCTGGCTGTCTCCCTCCTGTTTCTCCCTGTGCCGTTCGGGAGAGTTGACTTTGTTTTGACTACGATCCTTCTTCTGTGTTCCTTCTGGATACCCAATGATGATGGAGGGCTCAGTGGAGTTGGCAACAAGATCGCTGCAGTGGGAGTTTCTGCGCAGAAGACTTTGCATTTGGAGGATGAGTTTGGTCTGGTTTTCCAGCTGGACCTTCAGCTCTCTCACTTGAGCCTGAAGCTGTAGTGGGTCCTTGGAAATACCATATTCATCATAGATCTGCAGGCTTTTCAGACTGACCTGAGAATAGATAAGAGAGGCTGAATTACACATTACATTGAAAAATATTGATAAAAACGGAACTGGAAAGATGGTAATAAACGTATTGTTTTTTAAGACTTTTGTGCATTTTTGTAATTAAAACATTAATTACCTTTGCTGAGCTAAAAGCTGGGGAGCTTGGATATGGGGTGCTGGAGTTGGAGTCCAGGTTTTCTGTGGAGGAGTAGGTGGCCTGTTCATGCTTTAGTAGCAAAGGTAGGCTAGATGCACTGCAACTTGGATTCACACCAACCTCCAAATCTGGCAACATAACAGAGTAAAATGCACAAGTCACAAACAGAAAATTCCCATCAGCTGAGGGACAGTACCAAAAGTGCCAGTGCCATGTGAACTGAATGACTTCTAGAACAGAACTTTAATAAAAGTGGGAGGTTAATGAGTGCTGGAAATGCATTCCCAAACTTCACAGCAAAAACATGCAAGAATGTGTCAATGCAGATGCATCAACATCCCGTTCAACTTTGGGTAGAGTTTGTAGAAAAACAGCAGGAAACACCAGGATCACACCAGAAGAGACTGTGTGGTTATGAGAACCAAAGAGAAACAATTCTCAGGGTGAGAGACAATGTGTTAAAGGTGCCTTTGTTCACTTCTCATGCAGACATACAAAAAAAAAAAACTTAACGTGTGAGATTAGTGTTCACTCAGCAGACAGACGTGAAGAGTCTCTCTGGACACCTCTACCTGTGCTACTGCTCTCTTCTCTATCGTTCTCACTCTTGCCACTGGTTTCGTAACCCAGGTCTTGAAAATCCACCTGCACGCATTTGTCATCGTACTCTGGAGCTGATATTGGAGGCAATATATATTTTGAGTTAGGACTGATTATTTAAAGGCACAGATCAATATCCATTTTCTTTTTGGTGTTTCCAGAAAACTCTGTCTTTATACATAGTAAAAAAACATTTAAAATGTTTGTAGGAAGTACATCTTGATGTGTAGGATTACCTCTACTAGCAGTTTCTGGGGAGGTAAGAGCAGTGGCTAGCTTCTCCTCTAGGTTTTTGCAGGCTTTCTTCTTTTCCCTCAGAGCCTTGTGAAGGGTCTCCAGCTGAAGTTGTACATCTGGTGGTAACCCTTTGCCATCCTGCACCGTCCTGCGGGTTTCACTCTCTTCTCTGCAACCCCTTTCAACTCTTAGGTTGGTCTGTAATTCAGCTATTCTATGGGAAAGGTCAGTGAAGACCTCAAAGAGGATACATATATTTTGATGGGGGTCTCTGCAATGGTCTGCCTTTGTTTCATACAAAGCAGAGAAATAATTGAAGCCGGGATCTGGGATTGAAAAGGTGGATTTTTTTAGTATTTCTTTCTCTTGCAGGGCTTCTTGGAGATGGTCTAAACTCTTCTGCAGGTCAGTCTTGACAAAAGATGACTTGACAGGAGCTGATGTTTTAGAATTTGTACAGTGTTCTGTTAGGGAAGCAATAGCAGATGCTGTTGCACTAAAGCAGTTCATCAGAACTTTTGTCATATCCTGATTTATATTGCTATTACAAGAACTCCCGGTGCTGTCATGGTGATTATCTGACTCCTGTTCTTCTGCCATCTGCTCTAAATTATTGACTTCACAACCAACACTATCATTGTTATGGCCCTGCTGTTCAGTAGCATCTTTAACTCTCAGTCTTTCCTTTAACTCTGCATTAATCATGTTCTGCTTCTTAAGTGCTTCTTGCAAATATTCTACACGTTGTTGCAAGTCGTCCAAACCACAATCCATATTTTCAACATCTGCTGTACTTTCTGTTATTAAAAGTGAATTTGCTTGGTTTAAGATGTCCCTAATTTTGAGGCAAAGATAACTGACTTCTGGGTTATTTTCTTGGTTGTCAGGAAAGGTGATTGTTTTCTCCACCTCACTCAGAAGTTCTATAAGCTGGTTGTTGAGTTGCTCCTTGTCCTGTTCAGCTTTCTGCACATCTACGCAGTTACTGTGGAGAACGGCACCTGAACCAATGGATGCAGGTCCTGCTCCTGCACTAATGTGTGATGCCACCTGATTGTCCAGACTACAGGCAGTGAGATAAGCAATAGTGGATTCAGCAGCTTGTAAAGCCTCTACATATTGCTGTTCCTTGTCCTGTAGATGAGAGTGGAGCTTTTCCAAATCAGAGAGCTGCTCATTAAGCTTGTGGATGAGGCTGTCTTTTTCCTGGCACTCCTGGTGAAGGAGCTCCACTTGATTAGGAAGAGGAGAGTCGACCTCATTGTGTTGCAATTCAGATGCATTGTCCAATGGTGTAATTTGCTCGAGTAAATTTGTCAAGTCAGAGTCTTTCTGCAATTGCTGGTCAGAACCCCAAGCCTCATCTAAATGAAGCTGTTGAGCTTCATCAGTTCTCAGGGGTTCAAAGTTCACGGGCTGTGTGCTGCTTGAAGCTTCAACTCTTACTCTCACAGGAACAGGAAGACGAGATTTAACACCAACCTGAAAAACAGAAAATCAGCCATTTAAACGTGAAGGGCAATAACTGCAAATAACAATCAATATTTTAAGCTGTAGGAGAAGTGCAAACATTACCCCATGTTTTGCAGCATCCTGTTTTCCATTCTTGCTCTGGTTTAGGCCTTTTGTTTGTGGGCTCAACATGCGCCTCACAGAGCTTAGTGTTCTGACAGGGTTCACCACACTTGACATATCTTCGGTCGGTTTTTCCATTCCTCTTTCATCTGACATCTTCGTCTGCAGTGTTAGCATGTTCTGTGGTATCTCCACCTGTCCATCACTGTGTTTCCTTGATCCATCTGGGCTCTCAATGTCTTTACTTTCTTCAGACTTGTATTCTTTCAAGAATCCTTGTGGCGCTGCATTTCCTGATTCAAGACCAAGTATCTTCTCTCTGCAACAGATGTATGAATGTTTATCTGTCCCCAGCAATGGAACATTAAGAAGATCTACAGGAAAACAAACTTACCTATGGTGTGAAACTGATGTAGCCTCACAATCAAACAGTAATGTTCTGCTTTGCGACATGCCTCTGTTCTTCTGTTCTCTTGCTACAGTATCCAATGTGTTATTGGCAGACAGAACATGTTCTCTACTATGACCAAGTCCACTGTCCATACTCTCATTATCTGACTGCTTTCCAGACACCAACTGAAAATATCAGTTAAGAAACTATAAGGTAAGAATGTAAGAAAAAAAATCCAGCGGAACAAAAGACGGTAAGAATGTAAGAAAAAAAATCCAGCAGAAAAAAAAACAACAATATTTTGGATTATTTTCCATACCTGTCCAAATATAATATCCGTCTGGCTCTCCTTGTCCATACCATGGCGAGGCTTCCTGTCACTGTGTGGCACAGGTGATGTGGCTCTCTGGGCCTTTTCTAACTGCTAGAGTAATGGAATGGGAGGCGAGTATGACACACATGACTTGGTAAAGAAAAAAGCTTAATGAGTGAAAAAAATCCAGAAAACACTGCACAGCAACAGGATAATGGTATGGCATGTCTAATGTGGCATGGCAGAGAGAGACCGTTTCATGGGACACAGAGATAAGAAAATGTACTAGTTAGGAAAAGTGATGGAAAAGGAAAAAAAGGGTAATTTATAGTTGAAACGACGAGACTCACTTGTTAGAGGAATAACACATGTACAGAAAAAGTTTCACAAAGTACAGAGTAGGGATGTAACAATACACTCAACTCACAATATAAAATTATTCACAATTATTGGTTCATGATAGAATTTTTAAAAAGATTTCTTTAAGACAAAATGAGCTCCAGACAAATTATGATCATATACAATGATCCTTGATTTGCAAGAACAATGCAAAATACCATTGCCAACTGAGATGGTCTTGTGTAGCTCATAAACTGACATTGTAATCTTAAATAACAGAATCCAAAAAAAAATGCATTTCAATGCACATTTGTTTACAGAAACACTGCACTCCACACCAAAAACTAGTCCGGTCTTATTTACCTCGCTTAGAAAATAATTTAAAAAGTATTAACCGGAAAGAGTTCCTTTCTTTACAGATACACTGTAAAGAAAAAGTAAAAAAAAGTTCCTTTCTTTACAGATACACTGTAAAACACTGTCTGTGTCTGTGGAAGACACGTTTTGTTTCTATAGCTGAATGTCACTCAGGCTGCGTTTGGACCTGGTGTCTTGGTTTAAATGTGTCTGTGGAAGACACGTTTTGTTTCAATATCTGAATGTCACTCAGACTACGTTTGGACCTGGTGTCTTGGTTTAATAGTGGATCACAACCAATAATTGCAGATGCATAGCACCCCCTATTAGAGTGTTTACTCTCAAGGTATGACCAGTTACGTTTTGAGATAATGCAGCCTACTCTCTACAATTCATTTTTTAATTCAATCAATCAATTGTCATGCATTTGTATCAATTTTTAACCAATTTACAATGCATCTTTACATCCCTAGTACAGAGACATACTACAAACAAACAGAAAAAAGGCCAGGATAGGATTCTGAGGTTAGAAAGGAGCTATTTAAGGTGAATGTTTGACAATGACTCAAGATGATTCATTAAATGTTAAATATCAAGAAGACATGCTATACCAATGGCATCACTGTTTGTTTGATTTTGAAAATTTTGAAAAAGTTGTATTACTTCCATTTGCATTTGTGTCAAGTATCATCTAACCTGTTTCTTGGGACTGGATTTGTTTTTGTCTCCTTTTGTAGAAGTGTCGAGCTCTGACTTCATCAACAATGACAGTTGGTTTTCGAGGTTAGTCACGATTTCTTGCAGGTCGAGTACCTTAAACAAAGGATGACAAATTTGTTTTGGCAAAATAAAGGTCTGACAATTTAGGGTGGTCCTGATGCTAATTTTACAAACCAATAGAAAGATATTTTTATAGAAAGATGTATACTTTCATTTATCAATACTGAGTACTACGCCAATACTTGTTTAGTTTAGGCTTCAATAAATATGCACTGAATTGGAAGGGTATCCACTTGCCAAAGCTCTGCAGGTAACTGAGTGGCAGACAGTGTGAGGCTTAACCACAATGACAACACCAAGGAAGAAATGTTTAATATTAGGTTTAAATTTTACCTTCTGCCTGAGCTCTTGTGGAGAGAGAAGATACAAACTGTCATCCTGCCCCTCCCCTACACAAATGCTCATGTAGGAAGTCTGATCTCCAATAAAGCTCAATGTGTCACCTGAATTAAAAAAAAAAAAAAATTTAAATGTGAAAAGAATTCTACTACTACCAAATTATCTGCAATTATTGAATTGTTATATTCAGTTCAGTTTATTTTGAAAATTAACAACAAAATAAATTTAAAAAATGGAGTATGATATATAATACTACATAGTAAATGACACATATTCTAACATAATATATAATTTAGCATTATGCAGACATAATACAGTTTCTGAAAATATCTACATCATTCTCAAAATCTTACCAACATCATTGGCACCACCAACTCCTCCTCCGCGGTTTTGGATTGCTCCTAAGCGAGCTTGAAGAGAGGCATTCCAACGCTGCGCATCTTCCAGTTGATGTCTCATGCTTTCCAATTCTTTTGGATCAATGACACCCGTTCCTGAAAAGAAACATAGACAAAAGGTTACAACAAAATGTTACAGAACATGTATTCTGTTGGTAAATCAAAATGCTTTAAAACCTATTTCATAATAAATATTTTCCAGTAAGGACAAGGCAATAGTAAAAAGGTGAATTGTTGGATGATAGTCCATATGACCTGTTGCTCTGTCTAATTTTGGGAAATCAAAAAGAAAAATCATAAACATACAGTTTGTCTACATATATGAAAAACTGTAAATTTTAGTAAATATTAAATATACATCAATTTCTACTATAAAATATGGGTTATAAATAATTATATAGAATCACAAAACAAAACAAAAAAAACCAACGGAAAAAAAGGATTATATAACAAAAGCAAGTCATAAGGAAACTTAGTCCGAGGTCATACCCACACATAACAAAAGCAAGTCATAAGGAAACTTCAGGAAGCTTCAGGACTCTTACTTACAGCTGACCTATTTATAAACATGGCCTCATTTAAACAGAAACAACATGGGCATGCACTTGCTCACTCAGGCATAAACTCATGCATATAAACACATACTCAAATGTATATTGGCTTAAATGCCTAATTAGGGATAGTCATAATTTTTAATGTGTTTAGGAAAATACATTACTTGTTATACTTGTAGGGTAATTCATGTTTGCTTTAGATCTTTAATGCAATTACACTTAATGAAATAAATTCACCCAACCCATAAATGGTTGGAGGCACTAAAGTGTAAACAAGAAGAGGTAGTTAGTAAGCTTATGCAGTTAAAAGATATTCTTTGAGGACCAAGCACCTAATTATGCTAAAAGAAAGGAAAAAAAACAGAAACCTGGCAGCAGCCTTTATTTACTCTTTATATAAAGGACAGACAAAAAGAAAACATGCAGATGAAAAGATGAAGATGTACATTAGGTAAACAGAGAGAGAAAGGACGAGTAAAAAAGACAGGGTTACAATGAATAAAGCAGCAGAGAAGACAGTATAATGAAAAATGATGACAGATTTTTAAGGATTATTTATGATGTTCATATGTGTGTTTATATATACATTCCAGAACATCATAAATAATCTTTTAATAGTGAAATGCACCTTCTCTTAGCTTGGCTCTTTGTGTCTCTCTCTCCAGATCTTCCCTTAGGTCCTCATTAGTTTTGATGCCCTCCTCCAGCTGCTGCCTGAGGAGCTGCACCGCTGTCAGCTCCAGCTGCAAAGCATGGAGACGCTGGGCACTAAAACACACATATAATGCAAGTTATGTCAACACATCTTTAAAATGTACATACCTGACCTAAACGTCATTGTATTAATAATACTCTGTACCTGTCCTTCTCTTTGACAGTCCTGACCAGGCTGGAATATAGTTGTTGTTCTGCTCTTAGAGCCTTGTTCAGAGCCTCATGCTCCTGGTGCAGGGCAACAAGGTTGGGCACAGCCTTAGGTTAGACAGAAGACAAGAGTGCAATGAGCTTAATGTCTTAATTTCCAAGACTTACTTCAGACACATTTTATAAGGTACGTAAAGCTTTTAGATTACTTCTTGCTGGCAGTCTCCACCAATCATGGTCCGCTCTCTTTGAGGAAGTCCAGGGAATGACCTTTCTATTTCAGAGCTGATGTTCTGATCCTGCGTACAGATATCTGGATGAGTTTCGCCTCTTTGTCCAAGGCGTTGATGTAGAGTCTGTGCCAAGCAAATGTTATTATCATGTTATTATACCGTTGATGTAGAGTCTGTGCCAAGCAAAACCAAAACATACGATATTGGATCAGTGGTCATGTTATTATAGTGTAAAAACTGCATTGTTCATCTGTGGATGTGAGGTTCTTACACTGATGATCTCATCTTTGGTTTTCAGTGTTGACGTAAGAGACTCAATATTAGCAGCCTGACCTTCACTGCGACCCTCAAGCTCAAACAGCAATGACTGCAGCTCTGCCAATGACATCTAGATGAAAATGTAAGAAGAAATAGACATGGGTTGGAAATGTTGACAATGATATGACTGACGTTATTAAATGACTGAAGAATTTAGTACAAAGAGACCTTCAGTTCATTTTCCCTCTTTAGGGCTTTATTCAGTGCCTCAGTTTTCTGTGCTAGCTCCTTCTTCAGGACGACAACAGTTTTCTTTGACTTGGGGACATTTTCTAGATCTTCACTGTTCCTCGCAGACAGCTCAGCTTGAGTAACCACAGAAAATAAACAAATGTAAAACAAAAATGGACTCCATGTAATGAATATCTAGTGATTTTCCAGGCATTACCTTCACTCTCATTCAACTTCTCCTGCATGATTTGAATAGTTTGTCTGAGCTCCAGCACACGATCAGACTCTTTCTTTTGCCTTATCTCTACCAGGAACTCTTCCCTCTCCTGACCACACTGCAGAAGTTTCTACAAAATTACAAAGAAAAGAGTTAGCCAATTTCACAAGCAAATATGTGGCTAAAACTACACGATAGAGATAAGATTACTTATTAATTCCCAGGGAGTTTCTGATTTGCTCTCCTTGTTAGCCTTTTGAGTCAAGAAAATTTTACAGCTAAGTTTACAGCTATTGGATCCCAGAGGTGCTTACATTGATGAGGCTGTCTTTTTCAGCAAGCAAGGCTCGGAGATTAGCAGTCTCTAAACAACCCTCCTGGGCTTTCATGGAGCTATGCTTCTCAGCAGTTTCAAGCTCCTGTTGCCTGTCAGACAGCTGCTTCTTCAGCCCCTGAATCTCTTGTGTACGCTCAAACAACATTCGGTTGTAGTGCTCAGCAGACTCCTGAGCAAGTAGAGACACACAGAGGCTGGGTAAATACAGTTAGTGAAGAGATACAAGATAATTCATAAAACAATGGAAAAAAATACAAAACCAAAAGCCCAATACTTATCCTGATCTGGCATTTTGAAAGTAGCTCATGTTGAAGCTATCAAAATGTTTGAAGTTGTTTCATATTGATAAGAACAACACTATATTTTTTCTATATTTTATATTTCAAACAATGAACATGTAGATATTGATAAGAACAACACTATATTTTTTATTTCAAACAATGAACATGTAGGTATAAATTCAGCATCATGTGAAACACTCATTTGAAAACACCAAAACATTCAAATAATAAAAACGCTGACCTTAATGAGTTGGTCCTTGCTGCTTATTGTAGCCAACAATCCTTCAACTGCACTTTGATTATCAGCAACCAGAGTCTCCCTGGTTTTTACAGCTTCAGCCAACATGGCCTCTGTGACCTTTAACCTGTGGCCCATTTGTTCAGCAAGGTCATGTGCATGACTTTGTGACTGGTTCAACACAGATTTGGCCAAGTCCTGCACACAACAATGGAAAATAGTTGTATTATATAGGAATATCTAGAGAAAAGGTCAAATCTGAGAACCTCTACTACAATGTAAATTTATCATATTCAAATAGTATAAACATTGATCTTCACTGACCTCCATGTCTTTTGTCTTGCCCTCCAGATGGAGCTGTAGCTGGTTGATAATGGAGTCCTTTTCCCTCAGTGACCTGTTCAGATTATCCTCTACATCTTGCTTAGCCCTTTGCATGTTTTTTATTGTGTTTGCAAGATGCTGAAGCTCCACGTCCTTCTCTTTAATCAAAGTGTCAAAAGCCTAGACAAAAAGAAAAGAAATTACATAAAAATGAAATTCTAACACAGATTAACCTTCACTGATTTAAACAATTTGACCCCCAACTACAAATTTCAGATTTAGGGCCTCTGTTTTTGTATGTTTCATCAGCCTTCAGGAAAAAACTCACACTGACTGTTTCCTCGTTGTGAGAGAGCAGGTTATTTAGCCTTTCCAGGTCCCTTTCCTTCTCTCTTAGAGACAGCTGTAGCTGGTGAATCTCATTATCTTTCTCCTCGATTGCAGCAAACTTCTCATCAAGTGCTTGCTGTCAGAAAACAGACACAAGATTGTCAGAATTTTTTTTTAATAATGACCAGATAACTTAATTATCTTAAGAATGATTTACCTCCAAAGCCTTTTCCTTTTCTTTAAGCCTTTGCCTCAGCTTTGAGAGCAGATTGTCATTTCCTCCGGGGCTCTTGTTTTGTTCAAAGTCTCCTAACATATTTATGTACTCCTGATGAACAAAACAAGTTGAAATGGTTAAAACGAATATGTTAAAATTATAACAAAACCATTATGCCTCTACCTATGTGACCAAACCTTAACAACAAATGTTTTTTGTTTTTTTAAAGTAAACAATTTTAGCTTCATCATTGCCTGTAGCTGCTGCTCTTTGTCAGCCAGAGTGGATGTGAGTCGCTGGATGGTGACCTCATGGGCCTGCAATTTTCTTTTGGTTTGATCCAGAAGCTCCTCATACTGCTGCTCCAGAGCACTCTCCCTCTCCCTGATCTCATCGCTGACTTTCCTCAGCTGATTATTTAGATCCTGCAAGTAATTACAATATTACACAAAAATGTTTTTGTGAGGAGATGAAGGTGGAGGAGATATTTGACTGTTGTGATTCTGATGACTTACATTTACTGTTTTGTCTCCTTTCTTTTTCTGTTGCTGCAGGTCCTCCAGTTCAGCTTCCAGTTGGTCCTTTCCTTGCTGCAGGTCAACCAGCTCTTGCTCCTTTCTATCCAGAGCTCGCTGGAGCTTTTGGGCTTCAAGCACCTTGGCATGATGTTCACCCTGCAGTTGGGCCAGCTCTGACTGCTTTTCTATTAATAGGTTTTGATGTTCCTCTGCTCCCTAGAAAATAAATACTCATCATTCCAGTGAACAGATCAGTTTGAACATCCACAATATTATTACTTTTATTTTTTCTTTCTTGATTGCTTTATAACAGAATACAATGTTTACCTGGTATTTCTGCAGTTGGGCTTTATGTGCTGCCTCCCTTGCCTTGGCTAAGGCATCATCCCGGTCATCAATCTCATGACACAGCTCTGTAATCTGTGAACAACACAGTAAAGCAAACATCTTACTTTGTCTATGTTACGTGACAAGTACTTGGAAAATATAAAAACAAAAATGCACTCACCTCCTTTTCCTTTTCTTTGAGAACCTGACTGAGCCCCTGAATTGCTTTGTCTCGCTTCAGAGCATTTCTTTTCTCCGTATTCAGTTCATTCTCTGCCACCTCCAACTTCTCCGTCAGTGACTGTTGACATCAAAATGTTATGTGATCAGGATGTTATTAAAACAGTTAATAAATATTTTAGGTATGAATTGTTTATTTAGTGTTTCTTATGCACCGAGTTCTGATTCTGATTGTCCTCCAGTGTTTTTGTCAGGTTCTGGTTGGTGCTCTTCGCCTGTGAGAGTTCTTCGTGTAAGTACTGATTGATCTTCTCTAGCCGGCTTACTTCACCCTTTTCAATAAATGCACAAACAAAGGTAAAATGTTCAATAAATGCTAACATGCGTTATTATACACAAAGCTGTTTTGCTTTAGCTTAAGTTGTTGGCTAACTTGGAAATACTTAAACTACCTCCACTCTAACAGAAGGGTATTCATCATCAAACTGTTCTGCAAGGCCATGCAGAGACTTCCATTCTGCCTCTTTGGGTTTGCACCTGACTTCAGATTTTATGCAATCAGCACCCAACTGCTTTAGGACAGGGATATGGCTCCCTGCTGGTACTGACACCCGCCGCTTGGAGATGCAGCGTAAAAGCTGGATCAGTTCAGAAATCACAGATGGCTGACCCTCAGAGCTGTGGAGCAGTGCTTTGGCTTGAATGGTTCTACGATGTCTGGCAGTAAACACCTTGGACTGTGTGCCTTTAACGTTGATGTTTGGCTCTAAAGGAGTTTTTGAGGAAATGCTCTGGTTAATTGACTTTACAAAAGAAGTTCCAATTCCAGGTCTTCCAGAGCTCTTTGAAAGCTGCCTTGATCCGTTGAGACCATAGTTCTTACAAAAGAAGTTCCAATTCCAGGTCTTGGAAGTACATTTTTATGTTGGACAAGGTCAAAGTAAGAGCTCTTTGAAAGCTGCCTCGAAGAGTCATCATGCCCAGCCGCTGATTCATGTCTGCTTGTGCCTCCAAATGTTGGCCTTCTTACAATACTGTCTGAACTTACACACCTTCTCATGTAATTCTTCAATGGGCCACGCCAACCCTTCACTATGTAATTCTTCAATGGGCCACGCCAACTCTTCAACTGTACAGAATGCAGTTCCTTAGGTCTCACCACCATGTGGGACCTCTGTTGGGTCTTGCTGCAAACACGCTCCTTGTTAGTCCTGTTCAACTTTAGGTTGTTCTTGTTGTAGATGTAAACAATACTCTGAGTCAGGTGTTCCTTCTCTGCCCGCAGTTTCTGTATCCAACAAATGTGCTCATTTTGCAGCTGAATAATATCAGCATCCCACTTCACAACCTCTTCCAACCGGAAAGCACATTTCCCACAGAGAAACTCACCACCACCATCTCGAGTAACCTCAAACCCCAGTACATGGGACAAGATGGCTTGTAGCCTCAGCTGTGCTGATGAACTAAAGATCCAGCGACACTGGCAGCCAGTTAGAAGAACACCACATACACGACACCGGTCACTCATGGTTCCATGTAATTTCAAAACAAGGATCGTAGCCAAAACAAGTCAAAGCTTCTTCCTGACCTATACACTGCACATTGGACTGATAGTTGTCAAATTATAATCCATGAAAAGGCATTTATCCTTTTTCTATCACTGCAGCTGACAAAGAGGCACAAAGTACAAAGTACAGAGTGCACTATAAGCTCTAAGCCTTCAATAATCCCTGCTGCCACCCTCTATTCCACTCCACACTCAATCCCACATACTCAACTGGAGTCAAATCATCCTGGACAGCTGCAGTGATCTGTGTTATGCGCAGTGTCTGGGAATATCCATAACATTTATTTTTATTATCCATGTTAATCAACACCATGCAGGCCACCATACTACAAATTCAATCACTTCTCTGAACTTACTTCTTAATAGATGTATTTTTCGGTCCAAACTGTTTAAGATACATCATGGAAATTGAAATGAACTTGGATATAAATATTTACAAAAAGATCAAAAAGATTTTTCCTAATAAAGATGTAGCTATAATTACACCTCAGAAGGAAATGTTTCCAAACAGCATGGTAATCCAGTCTTAACACTGTAACTGAAGTCCAAACTCAATGGCTTAAGAAAGAACCAGGGATACTATACACAGTAACAGCTCTCTATTCTGTCAATCAACTCAATCAAGCAGTAGTGGCACTACATACAGTCAACGCAGTAGTAGTAGATATGTTCTTTAAATGTGTGGTCACATCTACATCAAAACACCAGTATAGTATAAAGTACCTGGGTCTGAGAGGACAAACAAAACTCAGTGACTGTGGGTAGTAGTAAATCAAATTGAAGAGAAATCAGTATCAACAGAAAATATCCAAACAATACTAACCTGGGTGTCAGGTGTCACCTTTTCTTTTACAACCTGTAGCTCATTCTTCAATGCCTAAAATAAAATATATAATATCAGCCACTAGTAAATTGTTGAGTAGTGATGTCATGTTTTTAATTATTACTAAGTAACAAAGCTGCAAAAAGCATGCCATTTTTTATAACGTTGAAAAATCATACCTCCAACTCCTGATCCTTCGTGGCTATGAGATCAGATAACTGTTTAACACAGTCAGCTGGTGGTCCAACAGTCTGTTGGTCTGCATTTTTCTTCTGTTGGATCAAATCCTCTTGATTTTTTACCGTAATTGTAAGCTGCTGGATAATACTGGTGTTGCAATGAAAATACACAATTAGCTCATAGCAAATAAAATAAAAAATGTGTTTGTATGCTCATTTTTTTGTCCTCCTACCTGTCTTTCTCCCGCAAAGCCTGCTGCAGATCGTGGGCTTGGTTAGGAACTGAAACAGGGACTAAGGTGCTGGGTGTGCTTAGAGCTTGAAGCTGTTTCTCCATGTCAATATTCTTTCGCTTCTCCTGTTCTGCAATTATTGCCATCTTTTCAACTTCTTCCTCTGCTGTTCTCAGACACTGCCACAAATGGAAAACTTCAAATGAGACAACTAACAAAACAACTGTTGAGTAGTGTTACAAATGCTTAACACACATTGTTTTTTACTGGCAAAACCAAAAGTTAAACTTAACTAGATTTATATAAACTTATTGTAAATGAACACAGTGTAGACATATTTAATGTTGTAGGAACTGACTGTGTCATTCTTGAGAGAAAAATAAGACTCAACAACAAAGGAGGTACAAAAAGTGTTGTAGGAACTGACTGTGTCATTCTTAAGAGAAAAATAAGACTCTTCTTTTGGGCTACAACAAAGGAGGTACAAAAAGAAAACACATTTATCACCTAACATGGTAACCAAACATACTCGGCCCACCACTATTATTTTCTCTGTCATTTGGTCCTTGTCATAATAATATTTGCAATGTACCAAACATACCACATATCAGATAAAGAGATCATTTAAATCGTATAGAGATCAAACTCTTGCAATTGAGACAATGAGATCCTACAAAAACAATTGCTGCCATTATGAAATGAGGGGTTACTACACAGACAAATTTAAAACGATGACACTTCTGCAGCCTTTACAATGCAAGTGGGGCCTAAAATAGAGGTGGTTATGTTTTGTGTTCTTTCACAGTTACTCCTACTCCTACTCCAAACTCTCTTTGACTGACCTGTTCTAAGTCAGCTATCTTCTTATTGAATGATTCTCGAACAGCATCAATCTCTCTTTGAGCTTGCTCTCTCACACGCGGTTCTCCCGAATCTCGACCAGCCAGGCTCTCCAGTGCTTTCCTAAAAACATTTAAAGAATATATATATATATACATATATATAAATATATATATTATTTTTTAAGCACTTGGACAAACTGGGAAAGGGCAACAATACATACGAAGCTGACACAAGCAGCTCTTGTTTTTCTGCCATCTCTCTCTTCATAGACTCCAGCTCCACTTTCAGTTCTATATTCTATAAAAAGACAACATTTATTTATTCACTTTACATTCAGCATCTGTTAATCTTAATCTGTGTAAACCTTGTAAACCTGATACAATGAAGCAGATTCAATGGAGAGATATCTGTACCAGACACTTTGATATTTGACACTTAGGTAACTGTGGAGCAAATCTCCACAGGTAAAAGTTGTCATCTCATTTAGACAATACATCATTTAACAAGATGGATATTGAAAGATATGAGAAAATGAAAACAACACCGTTTTGAATATGTCCTCAGTGGAGTCATCACATTTCTGCTGCATACGCTCCTCCAAGAAATAAATGCGCAGCTTCAGGTTGAAGTTCTCTTTCTTCAGAGCAGTGATTTGCTGTAGGTGGGTATGACACAACATTTTTTAATTCAAATTAAATAATACAAAAAACACAGACAGAAGAGCAACAACAGAGGAATTTCAGTTAGTTAGGAACTTGATCTAGGGAAAACTCTGGATTGAATGTTTTCATGGCTGAAAGAAGCAGCCGTGTGTAACTGTTATAATAGAAAGAGGCCTTTGAGCTTGTATGTGCGCTTTAGTGTGTACGTGTGAGTAGACTGTGCATCATTGTGCTTCAGGCTTAGAACAGCCCACATCTGGTAATGGGGGTTGGGTCTGATGGTCAAAGGAGGTGGTACGTGGAAGTCTAGACCCTCCGTTAGGTTTGAGTAATGTAGACAGGCAGGCAGCTCTAGCCCAAAACTCTAAGCATCCACCCAACTCAAATAAACAACTACAGTCTCCTCTTGATCTACAGTTTATCTCTGTTTCTCTAGCATGGCTTAGTATCAGTCAGCTAGAATCAGTTGTAATAAATTATTATTATCATCCTAGTTTGTTGTGGTAAAGCTGACTCAACTTTAAAGCTCATCACGGTAACTGCAGTTTGTCTAGGAATAAGCTTCAAAATAAAAATGTTTAGATATTAGACCCTAAAATTCAAGTTGTTGCAAAATACTTACATTCTCATAGTCCTTCATGGTGAGAGCTTTGATGGGTGACATCTTTTCAGGGAAGGATGGAGCTGAAACACAGCAGTGCTTCTTCAATTACCAGTTTTAATCACTTTTCCAGTTCCACTTTGACCAAAACTATTTTCTGTCTAAACAAGAACAACTCATAATCGCAGCTCCAGTCTGTTAATGTTAGAGGGAAAGTAAAAGTAGAGCAGAAGGGTGAGGCAGCTTCTGTTCAAAGCCCCTGGAGCACATCACAGCTGATCATGTAACGCTTGTCAACAAGGTGTTTCACAATACTATCTCCTGACTCTCAGTGTGAGAGCCTGAGGAACAGCCGTAATTGCTCTCACACTAGACTCTTTTTTGTGCTTGGTGTTGCTTCGATTCAGTGCATTTTAATATATATATAGTATTTTTGTATTTATTTTGGTTTGAGAAGATCAAATTGAAAAATATATACACAAATAGATATTCTGTTCACACTCTGTTAAATACAAATTTTATGAAAGCACCAATCATAATATTGACATACATCTGAATAATACTGTGTTACCGGTTTAATCAATACCCTGCTCCACTGGGTTTCAACTGTGATGTTCTTGTAAATTATGTGCAACATTTAAATATATGCTTTTGCATTTTATTAATTATTGCTGCAAAAGGTATCTTATTCTAAGAAATGGTACCAGAGGATGGGAGGGGGCATAAGACAAGATTTTACACATGTCAAACTTGCTTAGCAAAAATGCATCATTAGATATTATGGTGGTGTCCTATATGCTAAATTTTATTTTTTATCTGCTTGCCAGATTGCCAAGCATTGACAACTGTTGTGACAATAAGTCATCTTAGATGAAACTGGTCAAAGGGCTGTTTAAAGAAAACTGGACACCTAGTGTTCTAATTTTGACAGGGGTCAAACAATCAGCATGTGCAACACAAATTTAATTCGCAAATGTTTGAGATGATGTTGGGATGTGAAGTTAAGGACAAAAAAAAATCAATGAATTAATCTGTTTTTGTTAATTGATCCGTGTATTAAATCTATTCAGCACAAAACATGTGTTTGACTGTGACTCATAAGACCATTCAGCCAAATCCTGCTCATAGCTTTGAAGACACATGTAAGGTATAACAGCAATAATTAAGGCTCAGTATTTAATTAGTACACTGGGGAGCGTAACACATGAGTAATGAAAAGAACAAAGAGAACAAAATGAGAATTTACTGTACCTGTCATGCTGTCTGTGGAATAGTCTCCTGCATTTATGGAGTCAGCCAGTCTGCAGCTGAAAATAAACAATTTTTAAAATTATTATATTTCAGGTTTAGTGATATTAAATGAATAATAACTTTAAAAAAAAGCTCTTTGAAAGCAAAGGATGCTCATCTATTTCAGCTGCGCAAATGTACACTGACAACATTTTTGAAAAACAGAAATGTGAGGCTTCCTATGAATTACTCACATTTGGCGAGCTGACTGAGCCCCAAGGACAGTCCATAAATAACCTAAGAATGACTCTCTACTTCATTTACATCCACTCTGGCCAAGCTTTATTTCTGTGTGTGTCAGTGAGTGTGGGACCATGTGCCAGTGGCAGCCTAGCTCTCATGTTGACACACACAGGAGGAGAGGACAACAGACAAACCAGTGGAGGGAGAAGGCTTTCATTGGTGGACAAATAGACTACTGTGGCTCACATCGGCTACGCATTGCACAGTGAAGGGACAGTGGTGTAAGTCACGTCCACAAAACAATGCACCAAACATAAACAGTGCACATCTGGTTCACAACAAAAACCCTAGCAACAATAAACGTGCCACAACAAAAATCTATCATTGTTTGCACTCATTTACTTGAGATTAATTTGTGTCATAAGCAAATTTTACTACATTTATGCTTCAGGAAAAAAAAAAAAAGCACAAACAAAGACATGAACCACTACACTCATGTTTCTCAACCCTGCCCTTTGTGTCTAATAGTGTGATACCCTGCATTGAACAACTTCCTGTCATATCTTCCCAACTGGTGGAAGTTCAGTGGCGCTGCTGCTTCTCTGGTGTACATATGTTTCCTTGTAGAGATTGACAACCTTTCTATTTCCTCTTTTCTTTTTATTTCAGTTAATATATTAAAATTGTCCCTCATCAATCACCACATTTTTGTAAATATGTGATATCCTATTTATAGAAACTGATTAACAAAATATCCAAAGCTGTCTGTGCACTTCACAGTCTCTTTGATAATAAATATCAATATATTTTAAAATAACATTTTCTTCTGATTCTGAGAATATCTTTTTTTAGATTTATACAATGTACAGCTCTCAAATGGTTTGAGGCTATAAAGAAATCAAGATAATGAATAACCTGCTTCTGAAATAAATTCATATAGCAACTGAAAGTGGTTAAATTCAATGTTTATCAAGCTTCTCTGCTATTGTTTACTCTGACAATATGAAGGCAAATAAGCAACAAAACTGAAATTGTTTAAAAATAGGATTGCTGTAATTATGGTGACAACTATTGCAACATAGAGGTTTCACAAGTCAAGCAACATATTATTATGTTGCATCAAGTCTTGACAAAACTCTTGATATATACATGTGATACAACTTTATCTAAAAAATTTAATATTCTCATTAAGGACTGACGGTGTTAAGTCATGTGGCTGTGTGTTGTATGTGCTGCATAAGCCCTGCAGCACTGTGGAAACAATGTAAGCAGGCTGTAAACACTGACTTCCTCTTTCTCCCCCACTAAGTTCAGTTGCTCATGACATAAACTAACCAAAAACATCACCGTTTACGATAACTAATCAAAACAACAACGAGAACTAGTGCAAATCAGAATGAAAAAAAAAATACTGAATTTTCTTACAAACCTAAAGAATAAATAGATCTACTTTCAGAAAAACCAAATAATTAATTCACACCACACATATCAGCTGACATCTTGAATTACTGAAGCACGCTAAGCACCTGGATGACACAGAAAACAGCTGTGCTAGGACATTCAGCCGGGAGGCTAAAGGAGGACAACACAAATCAAACTCCAGAGTTGCTATTGAGCAGTTGTACAGAAGTAGAAACATAATGAGCAATATACACCAGAAATCTAGCAATAAACTACAAAGCAAAAAATAATATGGCTTTGTTCACCTACCACAATCACACCCATCTGTCATGTTGGGTAAACAATGGAAATACGCAAAACACACAAGATAAATTCACGATAAACGATTCAGATAAAGTTGTGCAGAAGAGACAGAAGACAGAAGTTGCTGCTGCAATTTAAACCACGCTGAAAAACAGGTTGAGATCATTTCCGCTTTCTTTTACTATGAGAATGACAGATCCTTAGGGCAACCTACCAACTGCAGAGATATCACAGCGACACCCATTGAACTGAATATGGTTTATAACGGTAATAACAAGGAGGAGGGAGAGTGTGCGTGGAAGGCTTTGTGTAGCCGTTTTATATTACACTCTGTATGATTATCAATCATCTAATATTACCATACTTAAGATATAACCACAGTAGAATTTTGCCCAATTTTTTTGACTACTACTATTAAAACTTTGCTTTAATACTTTGTTTTGAATACATTGTATTTTTATGCAAATGTAATTAATAATCTACATTAGAAAACTGAGACTTTTTTATTTTTCGACAAAAATTTTTGTTTAAATAATTGTTTTTTACTATTATGTTAATACACGACTGCAGACACAAAATACATTATACAATTAATATACGCGTATATAATTATATTTTAATGGAAAATATCCCTTCTTATCAACATTCAGTAGAAAAGCAATAGAATAGACCTTTTCGGACTTAAATTTCAAGTGGCAAAAAATTTCGAATTTTTCATATACTTAAATGCAGCTAAGTAATACTAATTGACTGTGAGAAAAATATTTTAATAACGTAGTGTTTTAGAATACAACTTCAAAGAGGTTTCGATATGGTTCCACGTATTAGACACATGTAACGCAGTAACAACTCAGGATTTTCACATTCGTGAGTAACGTACGTAAAACAATGTTCTTACAGGCTAAAGCTAGCTCGCTAACAGTATTTTTAGGCGTTTTACCTTCCGTTGATATCAACGGGCAGCGTCACGTCGTCCCCAACGACGGAATCCATGATAGCTGTTCACTTTTGTATAGTCCCAACAAAGCCTATGACATTTTACCGACAATACTCAAGGTAAACTTGAAAAAGCGGGGCGGAATTCAAAATAGTCCAGGCTACCGCCATCATGATATGGTAAACGTCACCAGTGTGCACGTTGAAAACTGGTGCTGCGTTCACAGCGCTTAGCAAAAACAGACATTTCAATTTGCAAATTTAAAACAAAGCATCGTAAAAATGTAAAATATAAAAGTGCAGAATAAATTGCAAATAGTTATTTTCCGTCAATGTGCTATATACGTTATTTGAATATTTTAATGTAAATTGCAGGTAATACAATTAAGTTTGAACTAAATTTAATTTTCCTGTAACTCCAAAGGCATCATAAAATAAACAATCACTGGGACAAAGCTATTGGACAAAACGAACCACATTTGTAAGGATCGCAAAAGACGCAGAGAGACTGCTACGTACTTGTGTTAACTTTAACCCGGATTTCTTAGAGATTTCCAAATATGAGGTTCGTAATGACCACTCAAAACAACACCAGACTCTTGTAATTTTTGTGAATAATGTTTTTTTTAAATCATAGTAGAATAGAATAAAGCTTAGAGTTGAGGAGAATGTGTGACAGTGACTTTCTGTTTCTCCTATCCAGATATTGGGAGTGTGATTCAGTCAGTAATGTGGATGTGGGCAGTTAGTTGGATTGATGGGAGTGTTGCAGTTTGGCGCTGCATAATTAACACTTGCTCCAGTGGATGCGTTAATTATAACATATGGACGACACATCGTCTACAAAACAAACAAAAAACAAAACAAAAAAAACATGAGGAATGGCCAGCTATTGTCCAAATTGCTAAACCAATGAACTCTAGCTTAGATTCACAACAGCGACATCTCGTGGTATTTTATTAAACTTCGGAGTGTTTACGTCAGAATTATGCTTCTAAACGTACACTGTAAAATTTCAGTTAAACAGCAACACTAAAAGCCTTATTGACCCTCTGCTTCGGTATAAAATATTTATTTACTCCATAATGAGCCCTGTATTATTTGAATCAGAAACAAGAAAAGACAAGTTAGATGTTTTTACATTATCTAGACAAATTATATACATTCTTAGGTTGACCTTATATATTTATTCTCATACTTGATATTGATAAATCCTACAAAATGTTTCTTTAAGCATTAAAGTGTAATGCTTATTTGCTGCACAATGATAAAGCTTTGAACTTTATCACTGTGCAGCATATTTGTAGCATCTAACACAATATATACAATAATACTAATACAACACAACTATTCCAGGACAAGTTATAAAAAATAAATTTGTCAAAAGTATAACCCCTTATATTTCCCTCTGGTTTCATAAAAGTTAACTAACACAAGTTTAACAAATGTGAAGTTAATGAGTGTTTTCATGACAATATAAAAGGTGAAGTCAAAAAGATTTGGGCAATTTAAAAAAATCTTTATTAATTATAATGACAAGGCAATTTTTCCACATTATATACATCATCTTTGTTGTTTGTATTGTACGCAATTTGGGGGGGATGTCTTTCACACAATGTCACAAACAGATTACCGCTCAAGTTTGGTCACAATTTCAAGGCTTGAAAAACATGATCATATAAAATGCAACAAAGTTCAAAGTTCGGGACAAAACATTAATACAAAAACTTGTCAAAGCTGTTCTAGACATCTGGTGGTCTTAAAAAGTGACCTCTTGAAACTATAAACAATACATTATATCAACTGTCTTAGAACTTATTGACTAAACTCTTCATTTTTAAATATCAAGGCAGAGGTTTTCTACTGTGTTCATGTAGGTTTTTTCAGAAATGTTTCTTTTTTGGAATTTTATTTAATATTGTTGTAGTCCTTTCAACTGAACTAAACTGCTCAAAATTAATCATCCAAACATGAATTGAAGATATTTATTGAAAAAAATTAACACCGAGCAATGAATAAAAAAGTCATATGGATGCAGGCACCAAAAATTGTCTCTCTCACTCTTTTTTTTTTTTTAGGAATAACTGTATGTTACAAACATACTGTTAATCAAAGAAGCAACAAAAATAATCTTTGCTTCACGTGATGCGTAAAAATGTTGAGGTAATGTTATCTCGTTTTTAATGTCTACATCAGATTTACAAAAAAACAAAAAAAAAAAAGAATCCATTTCACATAATTTCTTAAAACACAAGTTATCATGTAGCACAAAGTCCTGGTACAGTACATGGTTGGTTATCATAGAGAAAAAGAACAACATAAAGCGACATAACAAAAAAGAAAATAAAAAAATATAAGATAATTAACATTGCAATAAATTTGTTCTCTGGAGCCCTAAATTTACACATAAGATCTTTAAACTCCAAGACCAGTTGGGAATATATATATATATACATAAATATATATATATATATATATATATATATGTATGTATATATATGTATATATATATATATGATGTGTCATTGATAGTAGCATTGCTTTAGCCAAGAATTACTGCTTAGTCTGCAACTGTGTTAACATTAAATAACATTAAATAAGAGGGGATCCACTGTATACAACAAGATTTGCACAATTATACACACTTGTGTCCAGCTACAGCAAAGAGTTTCATTTTATCAGTACTATCTCCACTAGTGTCTTTAAACATATTTCATATGCCTCCAGCGGGGCTTTATACAGATAAAACTGATCTTTACTTTCAAAACAAATACGTCAAAACCCTGTAACTGTGTGGGGAAAAAATGAGTATGTGTTTTATACGTATTACTTGAAAAATGTATCCTGTAGGATGAGCATCTGTAGTAAATTTCAACAACTTTTGGAATGGGCAACACTATTATAGTGCATGACTTAACATAAACGTTGAGATAAACGGACTTTTTTAATTATTATTATTCTTATAAGCAGGCATTACAAATACAATACTTTAGTTAAGTGGTGTAATTACAGCACTACAGTTAGCACCTTTTCATAAATTACTTAGCACCATGCATTAGAGAGAAGGTGGGGTTACAAACGAGGGGTTCTGTTTTAATTCCTGGACCCACAATCCCTTTTCTCCCGTGGCTCAGTTCTCCTCTAAGTCTGTAGTCTGTCCACTCCCAGTCCCATATGCTGCTGAGTAAATAATAAAAATCTTCCCTTCTGCTATTTTTATTTTTACATGTGAAAATTGCAGGCCTGTTGACAGCCGGCAAATGAGCAGTGAAAAAATAAAACACTTGAGAACTTTAGAGCTATACTCTTTAATTTTTTTATTCTGACCTCTAATCTCCACATCCACATATATATATAATTTTTTTTTCCAAATCCTCAGTTGCAGTTGGTGTAGGACAGCATGAGTATTGACTATTTGATGAACTGTGGATGAGTTGCATGCATTAGTCGGTGGTTTCAGATGTATTTTACTGAGAGATGACTGGGTGTCACTTGTTTTCCCACAGAGGGGAGGAATCACTAGTGAACACAGATGTGTTGGCTGAGACTGTGAGTCTGCCTCTAAAAAGACATCACATTGGGGAGGTCACAGGGACACAAGCCACAGAGCTGAATAGACTGACACCCCTGAAAAAAAAATCCTTCCATAGGTTAAAGTATTTTTAAAATATTTAATTTTCTTCCCGTTTTTTTTTTCTATTGCACTTGAAGATTATTTCTATACATAAGATATACATGTATAAAAGTTAATATTATGTATCATTACTATATGTACACTGAACTGATCCCATTACTTTAATCCTTCTCTTGACAGAAATGAATTCCTGGTTTTAAAGAAAAAATACACACAGCATACGAACTGTATAAAGTTACAAAAATAAGTTACTATAACGTCCACTGACTGACTTGGCCTTGGTCTCCCTTCACTCAACAGTGTTCCAGAGAGACTGTGTGGCATGGGGCCATCAAGCAGTTGTACATGTAGATCCTTCTTGAAGAGCTTCAAGAAGCCTATGCCATACTGAGGAGACATTAGTGCAAGAACTCCCTTCTCCTTCCCTAGATCTTCTGTAGTACCTCCTGCTCACCTGTAGGTCCTCCCTCTGTGCCTGCAGTCCAATGGGATTTAGGCACAGTGAAGCAGGAGTCGATAAGGAGTTGGGGATTTGATCTCGCTTGGGCAATGTTGGGCCTCACTACGAAGGAGATTGCTACGTCTCCTCATCTGCTTGACAATGTCATCTGAAGGGCGCTGACCCTGGGCTCAGGTTTCTTAGGGTCGACACTGCAGCCGTCACAGGAAACACACAGGACCGACTTCTAGATGGTAATGTGAGCCAGGTGTAGAGACTGGAAGGTTGAAGATGTCAACCACAGGGAGCAAGGTGGGGTCCAGGGAGTGGAACACAAAATGCGTCTGGTGCCAGCGGCCATCTTTAATCTGAAACCAAGATTTTAAAGTCAGTGATTAATCCAACACAGTATTTCTGTACGGTTTGTTTTGAAAGCCTAAAAGGTTAATGATATGAACAAAAAAAGCAGTAGTGGATGAGAGAGTCATACCGAGCAGGAGTCTTCTATTACATCTGGCTCGAGTTCTCCTCCCAACTCAAACACCTCCCCGCTCCAGGCCTTGAACATCACAGACTGGGCGACTGGCTGATCCTCAGTTGAGCTCCAAACTGAGACGTTCAGGCAGTGGATGATGATGTGCTGCACAGCTTCTGAGCTCAGCAGGTGGAGGAAGTTCATCTGGACACGACCAACAGTGACTGTTGGCTGATCAGAGAGGCAGAAAGAATTTTAGTCAAAATATTGAACTAGAGGCGAAACCATTAGATTGAAACCCTTGTGACTTTAGACAGAAATTTGAGAAAAAGAAATGTGTGAATCTGTATTTAAAAGGGATTAACATCAGGGACAAAGACAGGAGCCAGACTTACTATAAGATTTGTTCTATTCCAATAGAAACAATTTAATAAAACATCTAAAGATGTGCATTAGTGCTAAAATACGCTAATGTTTAACATCATAGAGCTTAGATGAGGTATTTACTAACCAAAAACTTTTTTTGAGGCTTATTTGGTCGACATTGTGCGTCATTTAGTTATTTTAAATTAACTCAGTTAAGGTAAGAAAAGCAGTAGACAATGTTTTTCATTTTAAATTCATTTATTTTATATATATATTAATTTTGATTTCTTTTATCCTTAGTTTTATTGATATGTAATCAAATTTTGGTTTCCTTTTGGATTGGAATAATCCTTCTGTTGTATGTTATTGTGTTTTTAATACCTTAGTTACTGTCACTGGCTTCAGGCACGTCTGTCCACCTCCAGTGAAGTTACAGGACACTTCGATTGTATCTGATGAACAGCCCAGGTTGGGGTCGATCCAATAAGCGCCTTAGAAATGGGAGACATATATGACAATATTTGTCATTTTAAAGTTAAATGACTTCATCTTCGTCAGTATCACAACAAACTCCCATCCTCACCGTCATTTAACTTCATTTCACAGCTGTGCAGATCCCTGCAGATGCGGGCGGGGTTGTCCCGAGTGCCCAGTGGGTTCTTCATGCTCTGGATCAGGTTACTGAGGTAGTGGAGGGTCTTAAAGATCTCCGCTCCGTGGTCATACACGGGCAGGTCCATCACTAGCTTATTCTGAGAAGTAGGCAGAAAAATACAGATCTGTCAGGTTTCAACAGAGAGAGAATAAAACAATAAAGAAAAGAGAACTGTAGTTGTTGAACTGTAGTTACCTCAGTCCTGAGTGGAGTGTGTGAATTCACAAACAAGACGCCATCTTCTTTCTACGTGAAGAAAACCATTTCTTAAATGTTTTATTTTACTATGACAAAAGTATCTTCTGTGGACAAACAAACATAACGTGACTTACAAACGATGGTGGGACGCCTGGAGGGCCCTGGAAGAAGAAAATATGATTTGTTCAGATGATCCATCATGAACGTGACACACAACTGAAAAATATAAAGGTGGAAAACCTACTGGAAGTCCAGGGGGTCCACGTGGGCCAGGAGATCCCTGATGGAGAAGGACAACATGCTGGATGAGCTTCTGTGTAATTAAATATCCTCAGTGAAACACAAAAGGGTGGATGGTAAACAATGAAAACATACCCTTGGTCCTTGTAATCCCTGCAAGGAGAAACTTAGAACACAGGTTCAGTAAGAAAAAAAAAAAACAACAAAAACACACAGTAGAACTACAGATAATAGAACCAAGAGGACAAGAAAACTCACAGTCTCTCCACGATTGCCCTTGTCTCCTCTGGGACCCTGTGAAAAGAAGCACACATCCAATAAACTGATGGAGAATGACAGAAAAAAAAGCTGCTGTTGATGATGCTGTACATACTGCTCTGCCACCGGGACCAATGATTCCTATGGGGCCGACGACACCTCCTCTGCCCTGAAGGACAAAAGGGAGTTGGTGAAAAATCATGAAATCTGGTTCCCAGTATATTTTTGTCTCACCTTCCTGAGATCACTAAGTACTACCTACCATTGCACCCTGTGGCCCCTTTGGCCCCTGAGTGCCCTTTGGCCCAAAGTCTCCTGGAGGCCCCTGTAACCAAGCCAGACAATTATCTTCACACACACTCATCACAAACTTTACAAAGCTTTTTTTTTTTTTGGTCCAACTTCTTAAATGTCTTATTTTGTTCGTCTTGGAAAATATGACATCGATAATGAATTCCATAATGACGACAATATTTCCAGCCTCCCTGACAAACTCCTCTGTCTTGATTTCTGCAGATTTTTATTACCACACAACAAAGAAGCCAAAGTATGTTGGAGGTCTGTGTGTATTCACAGTTATGTCAATCACAATGCCGTTCTTTCAACTAGTTGTTGGGAGATTGTTCCAGAATGGATCATGAGGCTCAGATCATTGACTGGACAAAAGCGGGAGGATTGACTTGATGATGAAGGAGAGATGGATAAAATGATGTCACTGACTTCTCTGTTATAATTACTGATTGGATCACATCTATATTCGAAGTGCGTCAAACACAGGCTACACTCGGTACCAGAACAAGACATATTTATATGTATTACTAAAGGCAGTCTTATCATAACTTTACAGTTAACTAATTATTTTGGAATGGGATTGGTGAATTCCAGATTTTTTTAGTTTGCTAAACCAGCATCTAAACAGTTTTGTTGTTTGTTTGTTCTTGTTTTTTTCTTCTATGTTTGTTTATGCCCCACTCAAATCCAGTCAAAAGAGTTGGAGCAGCTGTAAATGCAATCGTGGCAATGAAAGAACAAATATTGTATAGTTGAAGAACCATAACAGATTTAAAGTTTATCCATGAGTCTCTTCTTTTCATTATGGATTTTTTCACATCATAAACAGCAACTGCTTTACATTTAAAGAGAAAAATGCAAACGACTATTTCCAAAATGAACAACATGTGTTAGTTGTATGCAAACTCAGCTGGACATACCCTTGGTCCAAAAACTCCCAGAAACCCTGGAAAACCTTGTTCGCCTGTGTCACCCTGAACAAACAAGAGTTCAGACAAGAATTAAATTAAAGCCTTAAAACCCTCAGAGAAATGTCATTATCTGTTTTATATATTTCATGTATTATATGCAGGGTTGCTCACAGGTTGTCCTTTAGGTCCCTGGTCTCCCTGTGGCCCCGGAAGTCCCATTCCACCGATGAAGCCTCTTTTACCAGCAGCTCCAGTCTGGCCACGAAGACCCTGTTCACCCTGGATGAATAAACACATAAGCGTACAAAAATCCTGAAGTGTTCGCTATAAGAATAATATGGTGTCGTCCAGTGTTCTAGAATTCTCCTTTACCTTTGGTCCGATGCCGCCCTGATCTCCCGGGAGTCCTGGAACACCGGTTTTGCCACGTGCACCAGCTTTTCCAGGAAGACCAGTCTCTCCATCATCTCCGTGCTCTCCCTAGATATACATGGAGACAAATGATATTTAGTCTTCACAATAGAAATATGCGAAAAGATAAATATTACAGTAGCTGTATTTTTACAACCATGTGGATAAATATTGAGTTGATTTTTAAATATTAAAGTGTTATATTGATATTTAAAACATGTATTTTCACTGTTGATCTCACCGGCATGCCTATACTGCCGTCTTTGCCTGGAACTCCGTCCACCCCTGGTACACCCTCCTGTCCCTCACGACCCACCACACCTCTGGGACCAGGAGGACCACCACTACCCTGAAGGGAAGAACACAAGCCTTAACAGAAACTCAATGAGATAATATTTTCTACTGTAGCTCAGTTGTTGAATTTGTCTAGAAGATACATTTTAAAGCAGGTTTTGTTCTAAGTTGTGTTTTTTAATGAATATATGTCTCTTTTGTAATAGATCACTTGCAAAAATCATCAACTCACCTCTGTCCCTCTGGTTCCTTTTGGTCCAGTCTGTCCCTTTTTCCCCTTTTGACCCTTAATGAAGAGAAACATTGAAATTTTAAAAATCTTTAAAATATAAGGAACGTGTTTATTGTTGTTGTTTTTTTTAATGAATGACCAGAAGGATGTGAACTGTATATAATTCCACAGTCCATCCAGTTATCATTGTTCTAATACACAGTTGATACACGTTGTCATTTTACCAAAGCACTTAGCGCTTCATATACCATCTCAACACCCAGAATGGGTTCTTGGAGTTTTCAACTACAGGTCAGACACTGGGCCAGCATCACTGAGTCTACAGGTGAAAAACCGACTAATAAAATTGCCAAATGGATTTGAAATGGCTGCAGACTGATTCATATAATTGAAGACAAGGGTCAAAGTATTTCACAAGACATTTTCAAGATGCACAATTATGACAAAAATCCACCAACACTATGAAGCTAAATTTTACACTTAGACTTTTTAAACATTTAGAAAAACATATAGAAAAACAGTTCTTACTAGATCTCCTTTTGCACCTTTGAGTCCTTGCACACCACGGGGCCCAGGATGTCCCTAGAATCGTCAGTAGAGATGTGTTAAAAAGCAAAGATAATAATAAAAAAAAAAACAGTGTCAGCACTACATAAAAAATAACACTCACTGGTTGTCCCGGAGCTCCAGGTCTGCCTCTCTCTCCGTCCAAACCAACCTGACCCTAAAGACAGAGTAACAACACATTGGCCTCACACTGTGTTGATACTATTTGAAAAAAAACAAAAAACTTTTTAAGTCGTACTTTATATCCTGGATCTCCTGATTCGCCTCTTTCGCCTCTGTCACCTGGAGGGCCCTGATTCAAACATACGACACAGCGAGTTTTAAAGGAAATCGACAAAATATTTCATTCGTGTCACCATTTACCAGGCAAATCAACAGAAGGAAGAGAAATAAGTCAGGTGTGACTTACTATGTCACCTGGAGAACCAGGAGGACCCTCTACTTTTCCATCGTCCCCCTGCTCGCCCTGCAGGAGAAGTTTGGAACAGCGGGAAACATGGGTCAATAAAACAAAGCCGATCAGGAAAAACTTAGTCCAAAGCCCAAAGTCGGCCTGGAACCTCATCCACTTTAGAATGAGTCGTATTCTCAACCACACAAAAGTATAGTATTTGGCATTAACATTTTATTATTTTTGGAGACAAAGGGAAGGAGTTTGCATTTAAAAGGATAAAGTTAAAGACGTGTACCTTTTCACCTTTTGGTCCTGGAGACCCCAGGGAGCCCTGTGGTCCCTGGTGGCCCTGCAGAGACAGATCCAGGAAATGTTTTAGTGCAAACACCAAACAAAAGGGAGAATGATCATAACAGCTGTGACAGGATACTGTATGGTCTTACCTCATAACCTGGAATACCAGTTTCACCTTGTTGACCCATTCGACCCGGAGCCCCCTGAAGGAAGAAAATATTTTACCCTCAGTCCACAGTTGTACAGATGATCATTTTAAACTTTTATTGATGGATATTTTTTTTATCTTCTTCCTCTTTACCACATGTCCAATAGTTCCTCTTGATCCTTTCGGTCCAACAAAACCCATCGGCCCCGTCTTTCCTACTGTTCCAGTCTCTCCAAGGTGACCCTGTTGACCTTTAGCCCCCTGACAAAAAAACCAAGCGAAAAACACTTTGTATTTTTTCTGCTTTTGTATGGTACATTAGTGAATTCTATTCTGACATCAGGCAGAATCTGACTTGAATACCTTCGATCCTTGTTTTCCTCTTTCTCCAATTTTGCCAGATTTGCCCTCTTGACCCTAAAGAGAAAAAAACCCCAAAAAGATAAATTTATGTTACAATTAAGTGAGAGAAGAGAGAAGCGGAGATAAGGTGATAAAGTGACTCACTCTAACACCAGTCAGTCCAGGACTTCCAGGTGGGCCTTCTTTACCCTTCAGCCCAATTTCACCTTTCTCTCCTTTATCGCCCTCCTGACCCATGTCACCTTTGTCACCCTGAGAACATACACAAAAACTTATATCTAAACTAGACCTGAAAGTATAAAGTTTAAACCTGTTGTTGTCTCCATATCCAAACACATGACACCTTGGACATTCTGGGACAACTTCTCACCTTGGCTCCATCAGGACCACCTGGACCAGTTTCGCCCTCTAGGCCTGGTTCTCCCTGTTAGCAGATAAAAGTTAATACCATTAAAAGCTCCTTTTTTTTAGGTGTACATTTTGTTGATACATTCACGCTCATAAATTTACCCGTTGTCCTATTAGTCCCTGTTCTCCGATGTTTCCTGCAGGACCAATGGCTCCCTGAAACACAGAGGAATAATTTGACATAAACAAAGTAGCAAATAATAAACATAATATATAGATAAAATATTGGTCAATTCTGAAATAAAATACAATATTTCCTCACCTTCTCTCCTGGTTCTCCTGGTAGCCCTGGCTCCCCTGCTTTACCTGGAGGCCCCTTATTTATGAGAAAATGGGAGAAAGGAAAATGTTTGGATATTTCTTGGCAGGCCTAATGACTAAATTATAGATTATAAATGTGTGTGTGTGTGTGTGTGTGTGTGTGTGTGCTTGCAAAGTCTCTTACTGCGTGTCCGATTTCTCCCAACAGTCCTAGAGTCCCTGGTGGCCCAGCTGGTCCCTGTGTGTGACAGTATAAATCAACATGTTTCATACTGATAAACATCATGTCACATTTAATAAATACAAATAAGTCATTCAAATAAGTACAAATGTAGCAGTGGATCTTTGCATAGAACATCTGAGGGCTGTGAATGTAACGTCACTAAATACTGTCGGCTTCAAAACACTGAAACACTGTCATGAATATTTCATAATCTGAGTTCACTGCAGTATCAGTTCTCGCCACTTGCGGCAGCAACAGTATAACAAATGTCACCTTTGGGCTTTCATATTCAAAGATAGAAGCTCTTAGCAGTTCTTAGTACTGATCTATCTATGATATATCAGTGAAAGCATCAACAGATCGAAAGTAAAAGGTTTATTTCCTTAATTAAACACAATGATTTTGCGATTGTTGAGGATTAAATTCAAATTATGACGGTATAAAAGGGAAATGTTAAATAATGGCAGTTAATTAAAGGTGATGGAAAAGACTAACGACAGCCAGTTTAATTATTATATATAAAGATTTAAGTGAATCATACTGGTTCGCCTGGAATCCCCTTGTCCCCTGGAGGTCCTGAAGGGCCTTGGATACCCTGGAAAAACAGGTCAAGAGGTTCTGAATATTCAGCCACATACCAGCTCTTTACTGATACATAATCCATAAGCTTATGTAGGTACAAAAACATGGAATATCTTCAGAAATTAAATCCTTCATGAACTACAGAAAAAATATTATCTTCAGAAATTAAATCCTTCATGAATTACAGAAAAAATAAATAAAATAAAATACTGATCATTATGATCAAAAGTACTTAAAGACAGATGTAAGAAGTAAGTTTAGCGCAGTGCTTCTCAAAGTGTGGGGCGGGACCTACTGGTGGCCTCAAATGTCACATCACAGGTGAGGCATCAAGGTTGAAGTGATGATGTCAAAACTGCACTTTTATTTTCTCTCTTTGAACTTTGTCAATTTGATCATATTGATTTTGATTAATAATAAAATGTGTGGTTGATCATATTGATTTTGATTAATAATAACATTTGTGGTGCACTCTCCTCAGTGACCCACAGCGTGTGCCCAGTAAAAATCCCTGTTCTACTTTGTATATCTATGCAGCCTAATCTGCTCCACATGAGGCCCACATGGATGAAAAGACTTGAATACGCAACAAAACAATGTAAAATATTTGCAGAATATAACGCCTACTGTTCACCTCTGGAGAACGTGTCTGTTTGTGTAGCAGTTGTTTAGTACGAGTTTTTTTTATGAGTTGTTTTATAGATGAGGAAACTCACAGGAAATCCTTTGGGTCCAGTTTCTCCTGTTTCTCCAATCTTCCCCTGCAGGGACACAGAAAAATAAACCAAAATCAGTCCGTGACAAAGACAAGAGTACAGTTGAAATTTACCGAGATTTTTAAATGTGATTTAACTGTGAAGTGTCTGGTAATAAAAGAACACATAAGTAATCTCCATTTTATGTTCACACAGTCCAGGACATTAACAAACAGTGCTATAAATAAAAAAGTACAAAGGTATAGCATAGTAGTCATATTCCCTGGTGGTCTAGTGGTTAGGATTCGGCGCTCTCACCGCCGCGGCCCGGGTTCGATTCCCGGTCAGGGAACATCGTTAGTATGTTTCCCCCAAGGGGGATGAATAAAGCCCTACTCTACTACTCATATCAAAGACAACATTAAGTTGACACAAGATTTCTCTTGTGAGCTGTGAAAAAAAAACACAACTTTGACTTGACTTTTATTTAAATCTGGCAGAAACCCTGAGGGGATTAGTCAACTTCAAAATCAAATTCCCATTTCTAACTGAGGCCCGCCGCTCTGTAGCTATCATGTCAGCATTCTAAATCATACTGAAGTCTTGCCTCTCCAGAGGATCATTAAAAACAAAAATATATGACAGGAAGAGGTGGAAAAGTTTTAAAAGACCCCAGTGTTCTTTACCTGTGGTCCAGGGAAGCCTGTTTTTCCTGGAGGACCGTCAGGACCCTGTGGAGAGAGGGAAGGATGAGCGATAGTTATGTGTTGAGAAATGTCAGCTCCCAGTGGACGGTACAGTATTTCCTGCCTGGATGAAGATGCTGTGTGGTTTGATGTTCTGGTGCTGGGAACCTATTATTTCTGCTGAGAATTCATGGTTTATTTCTGTGCTACTTTACGATCATTACTCATGTGTAAACACAGTGTGACGTCCTGAAGGTTTAGAGCTTCACAGGTGTAGAAATGCTGAATGAGCATTTTTACCTTCTTGCCCTTTAACCCCGTCTCTCCTGGTGAACCGTCAGGCCCAACTGCTCCCTAAAAAAATAAGAAAAAAAAACAACATACTAAGACAATGTCACCAACAGAGGCCACTGTGATACAGCCAGACAGACGTGTAAATGAGCTGGTGCAGTTCTGACTGTACTGCGTCTGTACTGTGTCTGTAATGTTCACTTTCTCAAGTATAGGAGGAAGTACTCGCCTTGTATGTGTGTGTTAGATGTAAACATGTGAGTACAGTAGCAGAGTATAATCAGACACAGCTCTGCGGTGCCTTACTTGGCAGCAGCAGTTTTTGTACGAGTGCACAATCAAAGCCAACAGTGTGGACACACACGGCAGAAATCAGACAGAAATCCGACATTTTACTCGGTGCAGTTGTCAAATGTACTCAGTGTGAGTTGCTGACAGGCCTGCTTGTCCACTGAGCAGTGGTTATAAATGGAAGACAGACAGTGGAGCAGCACAGTCCATCTGCTCTGCACCTGCAGCCTATAGTAGCTCACTGACACGGAGGGTCGTCGACATCTCATCGTTTATGATTTCATCGTCATCGTTTGCTATGAGATCAATTCTTATCTTAAAACATAACTATTCCAATCTATTTTTAAAATTTTGAATTGTGATAGAGACCACGGCGGGAAAGTATCACATATGGAACAAAGGTGCTACGTTAAGAATTCTAAGACAGGATGTGCTGGAATTATAAAAGATTTACTAAAGCCTTTTCCTCAGTTATTTTTAAGAAGGCACTTGAAATGATGGGTTGCAGAGACTTTGTCATCTGGCATTTCTAGTTTTGCAGACTGTTCCTGGTAAGTGGCAGTTATGCAACTCATCGGCTGTCAAATTCCATTAGAGAGTGAAGGACAAAAAGAAAAAGAGGAGAAAGAAGAAGAAGAAAAAGAAGAAAAAGAGGAGAAAGAAGAAGAAGAAGAAAAGGAAGAAAAAGAGAAGAAGAAGAAAAAGAAGAAAAAGAGGAGAAAGAAGAAGAAGAAGAAAAGGAAGAAAAAGAGAAGAAGAAGAAGAAGATGAAGAAGAAGAAGAAGAAGAAGCCCAGTGGTTCTACAATGGTACTACACCAACTTCCTAGAACACTGTTATTCCAGCTGCTTTACGTGTTGACTAGGGGGTTCCCAAATGTTTCCATGCTGACCCCATCTAACTGTCATGAATTTCAGAATCAACGCAAAGTAATGTTATCTCAAATGTATGTTTCATTATTTTCCCCAATAGAAATGTAAATAAAACAAAAACAATATTGTTTTGTCTTGTAATAACTGTACTGTCTTATCAAAGTTCCGTCATCTGTGACAGGACCATTGTGGACCATATCTGGCCCTGGAGCCTTATATTGAGTATCTGTACTGTCATATGCTGAGGAAGCCACTGTTCAAAGTGCTATTATGAACGGAGCTGGAGAAGCAGCACTCAATAACATTCCTGTCTGCGGTACCTGCTCTGCACAGCTTATGTTTACACAGCCTGATTAGCTGATGTGTGGTGAAAGTGTTTTCCCTCCGTTTGGCCTTGAAAAAACACTCAAATATCTGACTTTGAAGCCAGTGGATCACAGAGAGTTACTGTAACGGTAACTGAACAAAGGCATGAACTAAAACAATCAAAAACATTTAGTCAAAGCAGCTCAATAATAAACAGTTACTGTAAGGAGAGAGAGGGAGGACGGAGGAGGGGGAAGAGGAGGGGGAGGGAGGAGCTGGAGATGCTCCTCAATATGGAAGACATTAGCGCGTCAGGCGAGATGAGAAGTTATTTGTTAAAAAGGCTGATTCGTCAAATTTGCCTGATTTCTTTTGGCTGACATCGACCATCTAAGTTTGATGCAAATCAAATACAGACAGACAGTCGCGGCTCTAGACAGACTGATGCCACGATATTTCTCTGTTAGTAAACAATGGAGTTCCATGTTTCCATCACACTGAACCCTCTTGTTAAGTTTCTTTGTCCTTTTGCCAAAACGCCAACATCTAAAAGACGAGCGGCGTGACATCGAATCATTTCCATTTCACTCACAGATGTGTTACTCAGGCGGGCCAACGACGTCGACTTCAAATTGATAGGGTAACATGATCTTATGTTGTATGAAAGCCATAAGTGAAGCCATATTTTTATTAATGTGAAATCTTCTTTTAATACTTTATTTTCAGCACCTAAAAAATTCAGTCTGTCTTAAACAAAACTCAAATGCAAAGTACTGTTTGTTTAAGTTCCAGGTGAGTGCGGCTGTGGGTGCAATAAGAAAAAACACTTCTGTATCTTTTGGCCTGTTACACACAGGTTTCTACGCGTGCAGTGCGGGGGGAAAAAAAGCAGCAGACCGATTTACTGGCAGTGGAAACTGCTGACACTAGTATTAATGGAAAACACAGCTTGAGACACAAGAGTGTGTCCAGGCCGACAACATCCAGAAACAGCTTTAATGATGGCTGAGATTAAAAAAAAAAAAAGCATGAAACTGTTTTCTCCAGCTGGCTGATTTGATATTAGTGATAGGAGACATATTTAAAGAACCTTCAATAAAGGCCTACATTTCACCACAAACGTCACTTCCACTGTATTAAACATCACTGCTGCAGCTCTTAGTCTTTACTGATGTTATTATACATGATTGTCATTTTCTATTAAAACATAAATACTCCCATAATCCATTGTGAGTCTCTCTGGAAAATGTAATTTTCTTTCTGAAATATTGGCCAAATCCTGTGCTTGAGATCAGGCATTATGTGGAGATTCTATCAATCTGGAACAAAAACTGAACACCGTACACTACAGGGACCAATCTGTCGTGATGCTGATGTGATGACAGTTTTGTCAGATGTTAAACTCAGCTGTTGAAAAGACAGCTGATCTTTTTTCAGGAGTCATTTCTGTAGGTTAATGGCAGCGTGTGCGGAAATGTTCTTCCTCCCTTTTCCTTCCTTTTGCGAATGTGGAAAACTGACTCTGGCTGAAACTATGTAATAGACCCAGCAGGTGGCAGTAAAGAAATTATATTGCAAAGAAGAAGTCGATGTTGGGGAAGGAGTGGGATCAGCTTAAAGGAAGACACTCATTTTGGTTTCACTCATTTGATCAATTTGATTCTGAGCCAATCATAATTTTTCCATTAACACAACCCACAAACAGGAAAGGGAGTATTTGCACCCCCTAATGGGCAGAGAAGAAGCTGCATGCTCTTTGTTATACATTCCTGCATAATGAATCTTTGACGATCTCTGAAAGTTTCATCCTGTTAGCTTCTACTGCAGCTGTGTAACCATAGTTTGGAAAGTGTTACCCTAGCAGTTTTACAGTCACAGCTCTGTGAGTTTTGGGGACTCAGCAACTTCAACCAAGAGCTGGATTCATTACTGACCATAAATCTTGTTCCCACAAAAATGAGGTCTTGTTTACCTCGACAAAGGCCGTGCAGTACGACAGATGTCAGTCTTTCTTGTGGGTATTTTCCTGCAGTTATAAGAACTGACTGACTGTGTTAGAAAAACTTCTGTCAGACATCATTTCTACAACAGCAGCCGCACAGAGGGTGTTTACACATTTGAGAATAAACAAAGCCATAACAGTGGTGTATATCTGCTTCCATTCAACACCAGTGGACACATAACACCTCACACTTACCCTCAAGCCTTTGGGTCCTCTGGTACCGGCCGGCCCGGTCGCTCCAGGGGAGCCCTGACAAACAAAAGGAAAATGAGAAAAAGAGGACGATAAAAGACACTCTTACACTGAGGCAGCACAGAGCCCCTGGTTGTTGACCTTGGAGGTGAAACAGCCTGACCTCGGGAACACACTATAGGGATTGTTGTTAGATCTGACACTTAGGCCAATTTAAAGGCTCTGCTCTGGAATTCTCCTCTGCTGCTGCCCCGAGCTCACGTTTATGTTTGTTTTGGTGACTCTGTGGCCCCCACCTTCAACCAATGGCAGGGTCAAAGTGAGGGAAGGGGGGTCGGGGGGGGGGGAGTAGCATCTACTTAGATATAGGTGTTGTGTTTTTGACTGACAGCAGGGCAGTGAAGATGCAGCAGAAGGCTGCCACCTCTCATATGATCTCTGGGAAAAAGTATAGCTGTGTGAAATTCACAGAGAGAATCACTTGACAGAAACGTTGATCACACTGGATTACATTTTTTTTCTTTTATGGCTCTGTGAATGTTACAGTCAGTGCTCGTCTCTCCAGTTTCACATCTCACTAATAAAGATGAAATGAAATGGTCTTACTGGTCTTCCTGGTGGTCCTGTAGGTCCAGTCTCTCCTGGCGTCCCTGGGTGACCCTAATGTTTGTACACAGACACAAACACAGGATGAATGAAGAGCGACACAATAGACTCAATGAACCCAGGAACACACCAGAGGAGTAGAACCATGACATGAAACTATTACATGATCGAACATACTGTATGTCAGCGTGACGTCAATGAGGACGGGGTTTTTAGACTTACATGAGAATTCCATTTTCTACATATATACAGATCATTTTGTTTTAGGAAACATACATGGTTTTCATTCACATACGGACACAGGAACACAAACATACATCTGGAGAAACGCTCTCTGCGCTGGGAAGCAACTTAGCAATAAAAGCTAATGAAGGGAGAAGAAGAAACACAGAGTCAGAGGAGATGATTTTATAACTGAAAACATACTGCTCCTGGCTGCTTTTTCCCCCCTAATCGTTTCCCCGCTGGCCAGGATGTGTGTAAAAACTTAAAGCTATATGACGGGGAGTACTTCAAGTAAAACTACAAGGATCGCCTGAGTGCAGTAAAAATCGCAGTAATATACAATCCTGAGGAACAGAAGGCACTATGGGTATTTTTTTTCCCTCAGGTACGGCAGAGGCTCAACACATGACGATATTCCCATGGGAATAACATCCACAGTTTAATTACAGAGATTTATATTTTCCTGCTGGGTTTTTCTTAACAGATTAATTTCTTCACTTTGAATTTCATTTTATATATTTATATACAGTATATAAAAACAAACACTTCCTCGTCACATCCTCCTCATTGTTTCTTACCGTTGCTCCCTTTTCTCCAGGTGGACCAGGAAGACCCATCTCTCCACGATCGCCCTGAAAACAAACAAAAGTCTCAGTCTTCAAAGTCACCTGGTAAAGACACATCCTAAAATAAATGTGTGTGTGTTTCTTTTTTACCTTCTCTCCTGCCAGTCCTTCCTCTCCTCCCGGGCCTATAAAGCCCACCAGGCCCTAAAATACAGAGATTTAAATAGTAAAATTGGAATAGTTAGAAAAGTTTAGAAAAAAGTGTGATGTCAGAGTTTCTTACTCTTTCTCCCATGGTTCCGACTTTTCCAGTGGCACCGGACTCCCCCTTTACCAAAAGTTGCGTTAATAATCAACTGATTAGACTCCCCCTTTACCAAAAGTTGCGTTAAAAATCAACTGATTAGAAATAAAGTAAATTAATATGTATCATATATTAGAAGTAAAGAAACATGTGTCCTTATTTACCTTTAGGCCCTCTGGACCAACCTTTCCAATAATTCCTTTTCTGCCCATTATACCCTAAAAAAATAGAGCGGTGAATCATACAGATTAGAGAACAATCAGAAATATTAACATTCATCACAGCAGTGGAGTGGATCCTGTTTTATTTGTTTTGTTTTTTTCATTAAAAACCAATTTAAATACACAGCTGTAGTCTAGTCCACAGCTGTTCCAGCGACATCTTCTTGGAAATCTGGGACTGTAATGTTCCCCTTGAACAGACACTAACTCCCAGGGTTTAAAAGGGTCTAAGAGCTTTTTTATTAGCAATAATTCCAGGTCAGAGAAGTGCTGGCAAATCTCCTTTAGACCGAGTGACTCAAACGTTCCAATGTTTCCCGCTACACAAGTTGGCAGAGTGAGATGGCATTATATTTTACTCCAACACTAACAATCAAAGTGGATTTCAGTTGAAACATGAGAATAAATGTGAAGTGACCAGGGTTTGTGGGCTCTGATCAGCTGACCTCACGCTGGTCTGTTAGACTGCATAAACCGAGGCAGAGAAAACTCACAGATGACTGAACTGCCACCAGGGGTGGCAAGAAGGCAAAAAAAATAAAACCCAGCTGGTTGAGGAGACAGTTAAGTCAGAGGAGGAAGTGGACGGACTTCTGTGGCACCTGGCCAAGACCAGTGACTGCTCCTGAAGGAGCCGTAGTCCACTTCCCCTCAGGTGTATGGATGGATGGGGGGTTCAGAGAAAAAGACATGCAAGGTTGAAGAAGCAGTGTATGTGAAAGAAAGTTCAGGAGGACTGGGAGTCAGATGATCAGAAAAGAAATAAAAGGTACTAAGATCTAGGACAGAGGGAAAAAAAGGAAAACACAAATAAATCCAGTCAATAAATCTATGTCTGCAGCAGTCCATTAACACCCTCCAGGACATAAATGTTACTGCCTACGAGAGTAGTAACGGCTACTAACACCCCCTGGTGGCGAAGGCCTAGGATTACGCCTAGGTTTTTAATACGAGGAGACAATAATCCAAAGACTTAGCGACTATAAGTCAACATATATAAACCTTCAACTACACAAGTACACAATGTACAACAACACAACTAGACAAAACTACTGAAAACCTCTCCAATAAGACTGAGCTAAAATCCCTTTATTAGCTCCACGTCGCTCACTGAGACCCAGTAAACTTTGAGATGCATGATTAAACCAAGCAGTTAAATTATACGTCTTACTGTACATATGGCTGCGACGTACAGCGAGCTCACATTGATTTAGTACAACACAGGCTGATGTCACCCAGTCCACGGCTCTCCTGCTGCAGTCACATTCATTGGCTTCGTTCTGCTGATTATGCTGATGTTTCTCCTTTTTTTGTAACGAACAAAGAAGTCAGACTTTCATCCCCGCCCGTGGGTCACATGGTTTTAACTTTGGACTCAAATTGTTTTTCCATTCTTCCTGTGTATCTGACATTTCTGCCCCCCAATCCCCTCCCCGCTCCCTCACCCCTCCCGCCCCAAGTCTCTGTCTTTGAAGATGAGTCTGCCATATTCATGCAGAGAAAGTCTAAAACCACAACAAAGACGAGAATAAATGGTTTGATTGTCAGCCATTGGATATGGTTTGATATGCCATCTGGAGATAGAAGAAAAAAAAACAACACACACAAGCAGCGTTTTCTACATACTTCATGCTTAATGCACGCTACTTCCTATGTCGTACAGGTTTGAGGCTGACAAGTCAGGAAGTCACTTGGGTTGGGGCTCCATTTATATAAATGATATCATAAAAAAAACACAGTAATGTCCCGTTGACATTGACCTGTCGAGCTCCACAGTGTAATTACTCACTTCCAGTCCTGTTGGGCCTGGTGGTCCGATCGGGCCCTCGTCTCCCTGGAAACAGACGATATTGACTTTAGATTGAGTTATGTTTGGAGAAACAGAACAACTCTCAGCAATGAAAAGTCTTTAGTCGTAAAATATTTAACGCCTTTCGGGCGCTTTAGGCCTGTTCTGATGGTTTTACCTCTAAGCCGGGTACCCCACGAGGTCCAGGTAAACCTCTGACACCTAGTTTTCCCTGTGGAGGGGGCGAGGGGAGGCAGTAAAATTAATGGCAATGTTTGAAGAAAAGTGAAATACTTATATATATACTAGTACACTGAAAAATACATCATGTACAAATTTCCAGTCTGCATTTTTCCATTCCTTCTTACGTTTGCAAACCCCCCTGGCTGTTTCTGTGTAAAACTATTAATAAATGAAAAACAGATCCAGTAGGTGGCAGCAATGCTTCCCAAATCCCAAGTATAGGGACCATTGTAAATTCAATACTTTGTTTTGACAGATCTCTGTCGGAGTTGTACTCGGCCACAAAACAGTGGAGTTTAAGCTTATGTCTAGTCAGTGATTCATACTAAATCAGACAAATCTGTCGGTCTAGTCCTTCACTAACAAAATATTCTACTTTTATTATAGAAATATCTCTGATTAATTTAATGGTTTAGATTGATTTAAAAAACAATCTAGTTGTAACAGTTCACTCATGTCAAGTATTAGGGCAATATAACTGTGCTATTGGTGCCACCTGCAGGGGAGGTCGAGGAGATACATCTTAAACAGAAATCTAACATGTGATTTCTGGTATCTGTTATGCTAAAAAATGAAAATACCAACAAACATTTTTCATTTCTTTTTACAGTTTTTATTCTGCAGTACATGCAGAGGTCTGAATTTCACTTACTTTTGGTCCTTCAAGACCGTTATCTCCCGGTGGTCCCATGTCACCAGGGAAGCCCTGTTAGAATCCAGAAAATATGACTTGGGTTAATAATGTTTAATTAAAAAAATACAAAATTACTTTAATATAGCATTTAATTTGTAAAATCAAACCTCAGGTCCTAGAGGTCCAGGTGCTCCACCCGGTCCTCTCTCTCCTTGCTTGCCCTATGACAAAGAGACACAAGAACAAGGTGTGAATGTAATAAAGCAATAGTAACATTTTTTTATTTAGTGTCCAACCTTTTAGTACCACATACTGATTGGCCGCTACTGGCCGTTGAGGACCGGTAGCACTGTGCTGATTATTATAATTTTCAAAATAAAATATTTTTTAGACTTCATTCTGTTAGCATTGGAAACTTAATGATATATTATTTTGAAATATTGCCAGATTATCTTTAAATGAAGAAATGAAGTGAATATGACTGGATTTTTTTTTGAATGAAGTAAATTAGTACTTCATCGGCCTGGTACTAAAAAAAAAACCTATGGACCAGTACTGGTCTGCAATCCGGGGGTTGAGCACACCTGATATACAGTATAGAGGTAGATATTGTTATGTCTGTAATTTTAGTCTGTGTTATCAACCTCTGTGAACATTATTTTGAAAGGTTGTAAAGTCGAATAGTTAGTCTTCTTCAGGTATAAAGTCGGAGCTAACCTGAGGTCCTGGTTTCCCACGAACCCCCGGTAACCCTGGAGGTCCCATGATGCCCTGTTGGGCACAAACACAACGCATAAAAAAATAAAATAAAAAACACAACTTCAGTAATTATAAATTCAAATGTATGTCCTGCTCTAATCTGACATTAAACAGTTATTACTACACAGTGTTCCAGATCCAAACTGACTCCGAACTGATTTGATTTTGCTGACGCAGACACAATTGAGGAGGATTTATGAAAAGAATTTCCATAAGCCGAACAGTTCACATCTGGACAAGTCATTTAAAAAAAACCCTCCACAACAAAGGCCATGTGTGACTACATGTTGCGTGTGTTGGAGGAGTCATGCATGGCAGCGGCTGATGAGAGAAAAGGATGTTTAAGGGCAGGTACACATGTGAACAGGTGGTGGCGGTGGTGGGCTACCTTGTCTCCTTTATACCCGATCTCTCCTTGAGCTCCAGAAAGCCCTACATCGCCCTGATGGGGAGAGGAGACACACACAGAGGACAATGGATGAAGTTCAGACAAAAAAAACCAAAAAAAAACATTTGCAAGTTGTTTTGGGAAAATGAATTTATTCTACAAAAGCACGTTGTATATTGTTCTGAAATTACAATCATTTGGCTTCCACAGCCGTAGAATAAGAGTTTTACAGCCGATCGTGGAGGCAGCTGTGCCGTGCGGAGGCCGGCTGACTTGCCTTGTTTCCACAGCAGGCTAAAAACAGCAGACGTCTGTTTCTTATTTTGGAATGGAAGCTCACTACACTAATGAGGAACAACATAAACCTGCTCCATAATCTAGGGAGAGTGGCGAAAATCACACTCAGAGTGGTTATGTGGAAAGAAAGAGTTGAAGAAAAGTATTTATCTACTTCGTCGCTCACCAAGGCCAATGTACTCTAGTGGAGTCAGGTCTGTCAGTCATGTGCTGCATTTTACACTCTCGCCATTAGATGTCATAATTTCTCACATAATGAACAGTATATATTGTATATAGTGCGACTGCCATGAACTCTCACACTATTACATTAATTTATATCAGTCACATTTTCAACTAATATTAGTGTTAGTGAGGTATTTACCCTATTATATAAAACTATATATAACATATTTTTATTATATATATTTATATATAAAATATATATGCATTATGAAACATGTGATTCCTCTGTGAATCAAACCCAGGACTCTACACATTCTAGGCAGGCTTGCTAACTGCTACACTATGGATCCACTTAAACAAAGTGACACATGAATTATCATAAGCCTCTAGCAATGATTTATCTATCGTGGAGCAAAGGTTCCTTGTGACTTAGGATGTAATTTATATTTACTTTGTAGTCACAAAATATACACATCACATGATAAAAATAGTAAATACAGCAAAGGTCAGCAGCTCACTGACCTTTACCAGATATTCCTGTACAGTACTACACATTTGAGTATTAATCCCAGAACACAGAAAGTAGAACTGTTACTGGTCACTTAAGAAATCTCATGCTCCTTGTTCACATCATCAGATATGGTGTATTTAAAACAGGTTCCCATGCACACATGCTCTATGTCTTCATGTCTATGGTAGGACAGAGATGACTGTGAAAAGGAGCAAAGAAATACATATTTCTCACATGCTGCTTATAACCAGGCCAATAACAGGAATATTCAGATCACCTTATCACCTTTCAGTCCTGGTTCTCCTGGATTTCCGGGCACGCCCTGAAACAAACAAACAGAGGAAATAATGCAAACCTACATCCAGAAATGTCACTTCAGTAACACAGTTGGGAGATAATATCAAATGTGATGAAGTGTTTCCACAGGATTTTTTCAAGCAGCGGCAGCAGGTCATCCCAGTGAGCTCCCCCTCCCTCCCCCCAGGTGACCCCTGCTGTTCCCTCACCTCTGCTGTTTCTACCTGCTGTCTATTTCTGTCACCTGTCTTAACATATATTTATTTTCACCAGGACACACACCGACAGAGAGACAGAGAGCAACACTGATGATATTTTGAAAACAGCAGTGACAGGAGCTGCTGATTCACAATGACATGAAGGTAGACTTGGACCAATGACTAAAAATGTTTCTCTGTTGAAGTCGGTTTCATTTTGAAAAAAGCGTGACGATGAAATTAAGCCTCAAATGTCACATCCTGTCACGAATCATTTGAAAAAAGTTGGGCGGGCCAGATTAAAAAACTGAACGAGACGCATCTGGCCCCCGGGCCTTAGTTTGCTCATGCCTGGGTCAAAGGTTAAATTGTGAGATTACCTTCAGCCCACTGGGTCCTGCAAGGCCCATCTCTCCTACTGGTCCCATATCACCCTAAAACCAGAGAGAAAACACAGGTTAAGAAATGAATAATTATTAATAAAAAATTATTATTATTATATAAATCATTGTTTATTTTACATTCACAACTACAGAATATGGAAACATTTTCCTAATTTAACTCATATTGACTTGGTTTGCAGTATTCACGTTAAAATAAAAATGCAGATTTTAGCATAGTTGTTAAAGGATGGGTGAATTGCGAACTGGGGTTCAAATCCCGGTCCCAGCAAAACTGTCAGGTGCTAAAAAAATATTTTTTTATTTTCTGTTGTTGCATTGTCTTCCTAATAAAATCTAAGTATGATAACCCAAAACGTTTAATTCATTCATTTTAACCATTGTGATTTAATTTGTTTTTTTTTAAGTTATTTATTTTTGAAGTCTCCATTAGAATTATTTTCATTTTCTCACCTCTAGAGGGCCCACTGACACTTAACTGTCTCAGGCAGCCACATACAGAACTTCCAGCCAGGTCAATGAAATCACAAAAAACATGACTCTGGAGTTTTTTGGTTTTTTTTTTCAATCTACTGTGAAGATTGATGCCTTTGATTATAGTACATTTTGTGGATTTTCCCATTCAACCCTGTCAGACTGTGGGGCCTTTTCATATCTACAGCCTGTGTTATTTTAAATGATGAATGTGGAGCAGAGGAGCCATTACAGTACTAGTATGTTGACTGTAGTCAGTCTATAGCGTCTACATGTTAACTGTCTGTCATCCCTGAGGCCTTCAGCTCCTGACACAAGGCTATGTATTTTTATCTGCCAAGTGCAGCTCAGAGCGGCTGATGTGCACTGTACATCAAACTGTCAGGTCAGATGCAGGCGGAGGACACGGAGCTGGGAGGAGAGCTGTAATCACAGAGCTCCAATTACAGGGCCGCTGCCACCACTGGTGGCCTAGAATAGAGCAGGAGGAGCTGCAGGGATGGATGAAGACAGGACACGACAAGAGAAACCAGAGGGACATTATAATCAGACACAATTATGTGGCCGTGGGGACGGGCAAGAATATAGGACAAGGTGATATGCGGTTCAAAGGGGGGGGGGGGGTCCTCTTAAATATAGCTAATGAGAAAGAGTTTCAAGAGGAGGGAAAAAAATAGATTGTAAAGTTTTGTGTCATCAATCAAATAACAATGTCTGTTTTCACGGCTGATTAAATAGAAAAGACAAACAGAAATAAATACTGGAGGTCAGAAAGACGAAGACGACCTTCTTAACAAAATGAGAATAAATTTAACCTCCGTGGGGTTTTTTCTTTTAGAGTGACTGTTTGTGTCTTTGTTTGATGGCCAGGCTGTGGCCGTTGGATTATTATTATTATTAACAGCAAACATTTAAGTGTTGTGTTTATGGTTTAAAGATGGCTGAAAAGGAAAGAGCATAAAGGTTTAGGGCGCGAGTGTGCAAAATTGTTACTCACAATCAGTCCAGGAACTCCATTTGGTCCAGGGGCTCCCATGTCACCCTAGTCCAATAAAAAAAGGAGAGTAAGTGAGATGAAGGGAGAAGGAAAAGGAGCAGGTTTCTGGGGGTTTTGGCCCATTTTTAAACAAACATGCTCAGAAGAGTGGCTCAGTGTTCATCGCAGGGTATGAGAGGGCTCTGTATACGTACGTACGGGTGTGTGTGTGTGTGTGTGTGTGTGAAGGTGGAGGCGACGCAAGCCCATTACCCCACAGTGGCTTTTTCAGATCTGCAGATTGGTTTCTGCTCAAAGTGATGAATCTCTACATTCAGGAGCGAGGAGGATTAACACTGATGTCTTTGGAGATCCCTGACTGAACGTCATCAGTAATAAAATAAGTTTCCTGTGACTACTGTGAAAATATGTGGGGTTTTTTCCTCCTCAAAAAAGGACATAACAGGACTGAAGGCCTTTGTTGGTGTAAAATTAAAGAAGAAAAGTCAAAAGCCTGAAGCATAAAGAGTCAAATTTCTCAAATGTTGACGGGGCAGAAAGTGACTCTTGTGGGGGAGAGATTTGTGAACTGTGCAAAAGTCAGCCATCGGACCTGGAGTTAAAAAGGAGTTATGTCTTTATCAGATTACCACACAGAAAAACACACCGTACTGTGCACTAGGAACAAGAGAAAAGTCCCAGGAACCAGTAACAAGTGTGCAGTAAGTCAGGCATCACATTTAATGACAGTAAATGATTAAAATTTAAGAGGAATATTTTCGGCTGAGGTCCAATAAAGTTTAGATGTGAACAGCTTTAACTAGTCAGTTAGAGACTAGCTGGATAGACAGGAGTTACAGACTACAGTGTAGGTAGAACCAGGGCTGCAGATGGGGGTGGGGGGCAAACGGGTCTGCTGTCCTGGGCCCAGGGTAGAGGGGAACCCAGAACTGAGCCCTGGGTGGAACTATGGGGAAACGTTACTGTTCCTACCACACGAACTCTTAAACTTCTTAAGACACGATGCACGATTGGTTATTAAAATACCCATCATTCACTGGCATCATGCTGTGGGTAAAATGATGTGCTGATTTTTCTTTTTGAACTTTTAGTGCCTAAAATGGAAAGGAACACTTTATATAATGCGATGGTTCTGATGACTTCCACATGTCTGACGAGCTATTAATTAGTTCCCAGTAATAATCACTCACGCCGACGCCACATCATTTGATATTTTTGGAAATCACTTCCTAATTGTATAGTTTGCGTTTGCGTTGGTGTCGAACTGAGAGCAGTCATGAATGGAAAAGGCTCGGTTCAGGAGCCAGATCAGCCAACTACCTCCGCAATAAAGCAGGCTTTTAAAAATGGGTTCCAAGTTCAATTCCCACAGTCTGCAGTGGAGGATGAGATGGGATGAAATGAGATACAGCAATAAAACTTGTAGAGTAAAAAAAAAAAACTTGAAACAAAACATGGAAACTACATTACTGCCAGATGATTTACCCAATGGCACTGCCAGAATGTCAGAGTACTAAAAACACACGAGGGGAGTGTGTGTGTGTGTGTGTGTGTGATCTTAGTTTATGTCTGCGCATGTGCTGGGAATGTGTGTTTATGTGTGTGAACATGTGGATCATAGGTGCACATGAGTGTGTGTGTGTGTGTGTGTGTGTGTGTGCATGCCATGGTGTGTGACATACGGGCTCTCCGTCTGCTCCAGGTGGTCCTCTTTCCCCAAAGTCCCCTGGAAACCCCTGAGGACAGAGAGAGGAGCATTTATGTTGGGCTGCACGCAATTAACCACAATCACAGTCAGACCACCGGAACATTCAAAGGATCATGTTGCTCTAAATGAAACCCACATTAAGTGTTTTTAGACATTAATTTCTAATTGAACTACGTGAGAAACACTCCTTTTTCTCTCATTGATGATCAGCAGTTTCACCTCAGAGGTCAAGCAGACTGAGATGGAAACATCTGAAGGCAGTCCTGCTATGGAAGTGCATATATTTAGTAATTATTCTAATAAGTATATTACATCAATAATGGTGCTGTAGGACTACACTGCTGGGGGAACTCCCATGTTGCACTTAGCCCTTTGTCTGTCTGCTGGGGGAACTCCCATGTTGCACTTTGTCTGCCTTAAATATCTATGATTTCAATAAGGCTGGAAATCTTTGTGTAAGTCACAATTCCATTCAATTTAAATGAGGCGATTTTTTTTTTTTTTTTTTTTACACCAGTTCAAGGAATCTAAATGATGCTATGACATCTAACCACCTGATTGGTTAAACCAAGCCTGTTGCTGACCTTATGGATGGAAAAACTTTATTTTTAAATAATTGATTGGTGATTTTTCTAAATTGATTTGTAATTGTTCCAGAGAGAAAAAATATTCCCACCACTATCATCAATATCTAATTAAATTTAAATCAAATTAATGTTAATATTTAGGAGAAAATAATACACATCACCTCATATCATACCAAAATCCATGCCCGCATTCTCTCCCCTCATGTACAGATTGTCAAAATGATTTTGTCAAATGTGAATTCTCAGACAGATACTGTGATAATAGTAGCTTAAATGTAACAGCGTCAAACAATAATAGTCCACAGACGGCTGAGCTGTAACATAGATTACGTTCCTTTATCACGAAAGTCAACTTAAAAGTACCTACTGTACATTTACAGAGTACAAAATACTACTGTAATTGTGCTCTAATTAGAACCATTTCAATGTCAAACCAAACATAAAACATAGTGTAATCTGAAATATGTACCACTGAGAACATAATGGCATCATTATGAGCATTAAATCAGCTGTGAATTTTTTTTTTAAAGTCAAGTCATTATTCTGTCCATTTAGCAGTAAATGGGAGGTTAAATCTGAGTTATGTTAACAGCTGCTGGCGAGTTCAGAGAGAGAAAACACATTTGTGTAACAGACTGAGGAACTTTAACTGAGACTATTAAGACACACTCATAATGTGTAGTTTCTGCTGCTCTGGTCTCTGCATATTGTTTTGTGGAGGATTATTACAAAAGCTCAGGTTTTTTCAGAAAGACATAAGGTGTTTAAAACCGGGGCTTATTTTAAAATGTCTACGCTAATTGCTAGGATAATTGATATTTGAATTGCACTAAATGTAGCATGTGACTCCTGTGCTGTGCTGCTCATGTAAATCTGAAATCGCACGCCTGAAGAAACTTTACGACAGTGGGGAAACTGTGCTCGCAAAGGTGATTTAAAGTTCAGCAGAAATCGATGAAATGTATCGCTGACCCCAGAAGGCAAGTCATAGAACCATCATCACTGCACAAACCACACACAAGTGCAGGAAATGTAGCTGTGCCTGTTGAACCAAGGTCCCGAGGACAGATAAATGACCCTCTAATGTATGTCTCTGCTTTACAAACACAAGTCCAGAGACCAGGATGTTGCTGAAATACCTCTACCAGCTGAAAAAGATAACCTTAAAAGATTCTTTAATGTTTTCCAGTGTTTTATCTACATATCCCCCGCCCCCTACACTCTACACTGCGTGAAGTGTGTTTTTTCCTCGACAGAATCTCGTGGTTACGGCCGTGTAAAAGTCTGGCTTCGATTCAGGAGTTTCTTCTGTTCTAGGTGTCCTTCAATTTTCCATGTCAAAATGTGACTGATATGTGTTGCTTTGTTGCACTTCCAAGCCTGTTATAAATGTTGCAGTATCTTCCCAGACCTACAGTAGCGCTGCCATTCAAGAATGTGAGGTGCAGAAACGACTCAAACAGTCGTCGCCAGCACTTCTGCAAAAATACTTTCAGCTTTTCTCGTTGCTAATCCGTGTCATGCATCTCCTTATTGAGTTTAGGAACACACGCACACACAAAAATCAAATGCATGTGCTAACGCAAAACATAAAACCAATTACCCGCACATTATTTTTTACATCAAACCACACATACAACAGGGCCAGTGGCGCAACGGATAACGCGTCTGACTACGGATCAGAAGATTCTAGGTTCGACTCCTGGCTGGCTTGAGTTTTGCGAGCTTAGTGGTTAAGAAAGGAGACTTGGGTCCAGAAGGCTTCAGGTTCGAGTCCACCAGCTGCCAAGTTACCACTAGCATGGCACCGTCACCACACACTGCTCCCCAGGCGCTTAAAGCTGCCCCCTGCTGACTATGACAAGTAGTTCACTTTCAACTTTCATACTGTATTTAACACTGACTGGTGTGGTCGATAAAGACCTTATTAACCACACCTTCCAGTGGACTCACCACCTGCAGGAATGTGATTTGGGTGGAGACTGCTGCCCCTGCGACCCGGTAACGGATAAGCAGATGAAAATGGATGGATGGATGGATAAGGAGGGAAGTCAATAAACAACGGATGCTGAATGATCTCTGCAGCACTGATTTCCAGTGTGTCACACTTGCACTGACAAACCCTCTGAAAATAACTTTGGACACTAACTGACACACTCCACTGACGTAATTCAGTGTCTTCCTCCAAATGGCCTCGCTCCATCATTAAGGGGGGGGGGGATACACAGTCCCCTTCATTCCAACAAAAGCCTTTTTCTCCATCCTTCCATCCAGGACCAGCGGCTGATGGAACTCCACAAACTTTAAGCTGGACTTAGCCCCTACAACAGCTAATGGAAACACGGAGCCGTGACGTAAATGCGAGCCTTATAACATTTCACATCTGTAGGTGTTGGACTGTTCCCTACGTGTGTCACACCGTGTGCTCCACTGGTAACAGCTGATATCATTCAAGGTCAACACTCAACAGCACATTATATCACACTTTTGATAGATTATCTGTAAAGTATGTTGAGACAAAACTTTACCGGCCTACCCATCTTGCCCCTCTTCCCTGGTTCACCGGGCATTCCCTGAAAATCACAGCAGAAGAGAAAAAGTTAAAACATTTAACCCGTTTAAAATGACGCCGTAAAAATGATTTACTTCAGGCTTAAACACACGATTAAGGAGTCCGCGCTTTTAAACAGATGTGAGCAACAGGTGAGGGCAGTCAACTGGATTTTTTTTTTCTCCAGTCCATTATGAAGGATTTGGGCCTCATCTCGTACATATATGTTAAATAAACAGCAGTATCTCCTGGGAGAAGACGGCCAGACAGGGTCTGTTGTGTGAAGCTGTGGTATGAGGCATCAGGCTGACTGGCTGTAGACGGTGCCTGATTACAGCCTGACTAGACTGTGTCTGTCCAACACTGATGAAACCAACCCCCTGGAGCATGTCACCAGTAGGCTTAATGCTCAATGCTTTAGATGTTGCACAAATAGGAGGAGGCCGTGAAGAGTTCAGGCAGTTGAAAGGAGCTTTTATCACATGAGTCATCAACACTCCCACACAACTTCATACAGCAGCATCTCACACAGCTGCAGACTGTTCCCCACTTCATAACAACAACAACAAGACAGCCCAATCACATGGCAGGACGGCCTGGCAGTCATTTTAAAGGATCATTTGCTGGGTTGCATCAAGTTACTAGACAGTTTCTTTTTGCATTGAAAATCAAGAGAAAAAAAAAACTCACTCTTTCGCCATCAGGCCCAGGAAGGCCAAAAAGGCCCGGGATTCCAATCAACTGGAGCAGAAGAGGAGAGGAGAGAAGAAGAAGAAGAGAAGAAGAGAAAGGATAAGGAGGAGATGATGGGAGACAGAGGAGAGAGGAGGAGATTGAGTTGTGATGTGAGAGATGTGAGTATTTAAATGCTTTAAACACAGCTGGAAGATCAGCAACTCCCACTAGCGCTACGGCTGCGTTTTCAGGGGGCGGCAGAGCAAGGATATGGAGGACTTCCATGAAGAACCAAGCCATGAGGCAAGTGTATATGCCCATGGACTGCATGGTGCTGGCTTCCACGATGTAGTCCAAGGGCACATACCCTCACGCCAGGGATCTCTGAAGACAGCAAGAACCTCACACTGGGCTGTCAGTAGAGGAGGGGAGGTCAGGTGGTGGTGGGGGGGAGACGGGGGAGACACAGACACATGGAGGAAAACAAGCATAAACACCACAACAGTTAAACATGAGACCAAAATCTGACATGTACAGCGTGGGATGGAAAAGTTGATGTGCACACAAAATGGAACAGGGTACAAAAAAACGTGAATGTGTGGAAAGATGATTTGGAGAGACAGAGGGAAGTAATGTGGAGAAGAGAGAGAGGGAGGGAGAGAGAGAGGGCGACAGAGAGACACAGAGGGAGGACGAGAGTGCTTCCTTGACACAGCAGGGCCTCATACAGAGCTTAAACAGGAAATTCCAGCCAGTGGAGGCAGGAGAAGCTCTGGAGCAGCCAAGGAGAACTGATAAAGAACCTTTAACCTGTTTGCATGCAGCATGTGTCTCTCTTTGTTTGTGTATTCAGAGGGCGTGGGCGAGCACGCGGGGGCTTATTAACAGCCAATCATTCATCCGTACGTGTCAGTAGTAACACAGTGTCACCATGTTGACATTACAAATGAAGGCTTCTTCATGTAGGAGTCCATTAACAGGGGCTCACACAAGTGGAGTTGTGTGAGCCCCTGTCGTCCGTGAAGGTGTGTGTGTGTGTGTGCAGAGGCGTACGCCGGCGAATGCTCGCTTTCATGCGCTGCTATGTCGTTGGATCAACATGCTTCCGTGAAACAACATCTTAAAATAGTGTGAAGTTTTGGATACAAATCACAACGCAGTGCTTTAAAAATGCATCCACTGGACGACTGAAGTTTTACAATTAATGTGAAAATGCTCAGGATACTCACCCGAACGCCTTTAGGCCCCAATGGTCCTACAGGCCCCGGTAAACCCTGGTAAAACAGAACACTGTTTCAGCAGCTGACCTCTCATTCTCACCTGAAAAAAGCTTTGGGTCACAGTGAGCCTCTGTTTTGTTAGCAGACAGATGTGGGTCAATGCTGGTAATAAAGCACTGCCTGTACAGAGGCAAGATGCTGGAGATGTTGAATATCCCAAATATGATCCCCCCCAGTACATGGGCCCAGTAATTGACTAAGGTTATATGAGCCAGATCCCTTCTCTATATCGCGGTTCTCCTTTCGCTCCCGCAATGTTTTTAATCTGATCTTGCAGAACTTTCGTTATATTGCGAAGTATAGCAAAAAACTAAACTAAAAAGACTCAAAACTAAAAGACATAATAAATAATTAATAATCTAATAATAATTAATAATCATAATTAAAAATTAAAAAAATTCTCGTTTTGAAATTGAGATAAGCGCATTTGCGAACGATCGCTGGTAGCTAGCTTGTTTACGTAGTCGAGATCGTACTTAGCATAGCATTGGCAGATACAATGCGTACTCGCTGTACTATTGGGTTATTGAGCATGCACTTCTGTTCCTCATGCTAATTGGCTCATGCTTCGTAGCATCTCTCAGTATCTCCCCTTGTATGTCCGTCACTCTCTCTTTCACTTCGCTCTGTGTCGCCATTATACAACTCTGCTGTGCATAAAATTGTGTGGAAAAGGGTAACACACAGTCTAGGATGGGTTGATAACAGTGTGGGGTACATATAAACGCAAATTATATAAAAACTATCTCGCCTCTACTTCGCGATTTTTCTCATTTCGCAGTGGGTTTTGGAACGCAACTACTGCGATAGGAGAGAGATAGAGGGTTATATATGTATGTATGTCAACCCATGTGATCCAGTATATATAATATACTGTATATTACAATATATAACATACTAATATGTTATATATTACTAACAATCTAATAATCTAATCTAATACTAATAATCAAAATTAGTGATTTACCCAGTACTAATAACAGTATTGTCATCTGACCCAATACTTTATTTGAATACTATTTGAAACAGGAGCTAATCCTGTGACCTAGTGCGCTGTAACGGCTTTAACGTCCAGCAACTTGTATAACGCCACCTTCAAGTTTAATGAATATTTACTGAAACTCTACTTAAAAAATGTCACGACATTGGCGAGTACACGGATTATAAATACTCGTATATATTTGTATGGGACAAAGCTCGAGAAAATAATTCAGGCAGTCGTTTGCAGTCATTCAACACATTTTTCATTTCATTATTTGTCTGGAGGTTCTTGTCTGGTTTTCTTCCATCTCTTAAACTTTTAAACATATTGAAGTTTCCCTGTACATTATTCATCAAAACATTTCCCCCTCAGACAGCTGTTCCAACATAATCCAACTCCACTTGGCTTTCCTTCCTGACTAAGGCCCTGACAAGAGCTGTACCAGTCACAGTAGAGGATTTACTGCACCTGCCTGCCAGGATAACCTTTGGCACCTGGGCTTCCGACTGGACCTTGCTCTCCCTGGCGGAAGGAAAAAAGACGGGGGAGAGAAGGGCGGTGGGAGGAAAAGGGTGGACAAGGTGAGGGAGAGGGGGAGCAGTGAGGTCAAAATTACAATAAGACAAACAGAGAGGCCATTCTGCAGAGAAGAAGGCAGTTTCAGGGAGAGAGATAAGCATGAAGGGATGAATGACTAATGAATTCTCTCTGTATGGCAGTGAATATCTGTGGAGTACAAGTTAGTACAAGTAAAAAAACTTAAAAAAAAACATCATTAATGGGCCACTAGAAATGTATGGTGATCTGCTAATCTGCAGAGATGCTGCCCCCTGCCTGTGGTCTCTTCCAAATGAATACAACAAAATGCATAATACAACATAATCTGTGTTGTAATTATTATCTCACTAAATAAAACCTTCATTGTGTCCAGGACGCAGTTACATACTAAACAACTGGCGGACCAATGAGATCACTTTTTGTAAATTAACGGATAATTTAAAATTTTTTTAATTTTATTATGATAATAATTAAAAACCATTGACTAAAATGGGAGTTAACATTTGTACTCATTTAAATTAATTATTTTTTTTATGACAGATTAACATACCACATGTAGCTTACCCACACACAAATTTGTACATTTTCATCAATAAAAAAAAAAAATAGAAGTAATAAACTAAAAATATTAAACATATATGACAGAGTAATATTAAATAATCACAAGTTTTGGTTTGAATCACAATACTTCATTCAAAGTGGATGCCCTGATTACAAAGTCTGGAAATCACTGACGTAGTCCGGACCAGCTGAGCATGACGGTCTGTAACAGGGCATCATGGATCTTGTTAGGAGATTTAAATCTTCCAAATAGTGGAATTAGCGTAGGCCAGAGAAACTAATTAGGAAATGAGAGTCGGATAGGTATGTGTGTGTACACGTAAGCATAACACACAAACAAACACACACACACACACACACCCACACAGACGCAGGTTGTGTCCAGAAGTGTTCATGTATAACTTCCTTTGACACACTCCGGACGTGGAGCCTTTTGCACTTCTCGCCGTTCCCTCTCTTGGGCAAACACGGTTCATAATGCAGCCAGTTAAAACCAGACGAGCGTTTGGCCCAGTGGCTTTTGGACCAATAAACTGGCTGCAGCGCGGAGAGGCCCGGTGCACGGCCCGTGGTGTACTACAGTATCAAAGAATCATCGAGTCTTTATGCACACCAGCTGGGCTACACTCTCTACAGCTGCCAAACGGTGGAGGTTATTATTTAGTCATTTGGTGGTGTTGTGATTCAGACTCAACGCTGGGACTGCAACCAGCAGGGGGAGCGCTGTGGGAAAAAGGGGGGCGTTTGAGGATGAAACAAGAAGTTGGATATGGATATATGTGCTCTTGTTTCCAGGATGAACCACATGGGAACTCTGCACTGGTGACATAACCCAGAGAACTGGACTCCTTTTACAACCATACGACAATGAGGAGAATTTTCCACTGCTTTGTTTACTCACAGCACCAATAGTAGTATGAAGCTGTCAAACCGAAAATAACTGGACACTCCATCCTCAAAATAGTCCTGATGGGATGGACCAAACAGACCGTGTAATGTCTCTCCTCCCACTTGAAACAGCAAATAAAGGAGTTCATTGAACTGATTCCTCCAGTGTGATGTAAAAAAAAGGACAGAGGGAGGCAAAGTGCAAGACAGCAACACACCACTAGTGCAAACTGACCGGTCCAGGGCTGAAGAGTAAGACAAGAAGAGAAGCATGGCACTGCTGGTTCAGCTACGGCAAAATAAGGCCTAATTTAAGTTGAACTTTTTGTGCAGAACATTGGTCTGATGTCAGGTCATGCAAACAAAGTGAGGGGTTAAATCCACTGGGTTATTATGATGACTGTGCTTTTAAAGAATGAGGTCAATATGAGAGAACATGAAGGGTTATGATTCATCAAACTAACTGCATAAAGTCAGGTTCATGTAAAGGGATGACATTTATAGCTGACATGGTTTAAGTTGCATCAGAGGAAATGTGGTGTTCATAAAATCTAACACTTAAAACAACAAATTAAGTCATAAAAAACTGTATTAATGACGAGAAGCAGTTGTACTCACAGGCTCTCCAGGGAGTCCAGGTGGACCGGGGTAACCTCTCTGTCCCTGAGGAGAAGAACACAAGACAGGGGAAATGAACAGAGCAGCAGAGCAAAAGAACACAAACACCCATTTATAAATATGGAAAATTAGATTTCTCTCTGTCTAAGAATGCCAAGTGGAGCATTTCTGCTGGAAAAAAAAACATGTTACAAAAAAAAAAAAAAACAACAAATGGCAAAAAAATTTACAGCCATTTGCACTGAATCAATCTCTTTTCCTGTTGGGAGCTCAGACTTTCCACTAGCCTTGTTCACAGAGAAATTATTCAGAGGAGGCCGTGCCAGGTCTGCGGCATGTTGATGATATAAATGCCTTCCTGAATGAGTGAGATAGCAGGACTCAACGACAACACTGGAGACTGGAGCCTGCAAAGAGCTTTTCAGAAATTCTGCTGACTGCTGCATCCTAACCCACCAACAAAGAACAGAAGGAAACTAAATCAAAGGTGGCCACGGTTTCACAGACTAACAGAGGTAGTGGAAAAAGAGGAAGTGAATGAAGAGAGAGAAAAAAAAACCTAAATAAATAAAAACAGAGGGGCAAGGCAAGGACAGTTTCCTGTCGTCCCATTTTCCTAAACCGCAGCACTAAGAACCAAGCCAAGATTCTGAGTTCCTGAAAACTAACACGGTAGCTCTGTCATTTAACCAACTCCACTCTTTATGTGACACAGTCATTCTCACCGGCTGACAGCTTTACACAGTAGTACTTTCAAATACTATTTACAGCCTTTAACTCGACCCGACTGTGTGCTGGGATTTTAAATAAAACATAAGACTACTTCTTACTCTTAGAGTTTATAATCTAAACACGTTGTTTTGTGTGTGGATAGGAGGGGAAACCAATGTTGTGAAGAAGGAGTCTATTAGGTGGAAAATGAATGATAAAGCATGACAGAGGCATATGTTATGTATAATGGACTGGAGCCAACTCGAAGGTAACATTCACTGACGTTGTCCCCTAGGAACAATGTACTGTATACCTCCTAATTTGGATGGTGGAGCCCCCTAGAGGCTGAGAGTGGAAAAGTGTACAAAAAAAACTTTGCTCAAAAAAGATGAACAATGACGCAGACTAATTTCCTCGCGAGGAGTTAATTCAAAAAACAAATAAATTATATAATAGCAACTTCCACATTTGTTAAAATACAAACAGGTCAAATCAGTTTTCAAACAGTAGTGAAGTCACTGCTGTCACTAAACAAAACAAACACAGACAGAAACTGGTGTTTTCTGTTCTTTGTTAAGTGTCTGTTGTAGGGCAGTATTGTTCAGAAGGTAGAAGACAGACACACTTGTCAACTCAGCACTTTGTGTTTGGTCTGACCTCCAGAAAATGAATCTGGGTCTACACCACCATCTCCTCTGTTTACGTGGACTTTTGCCATTATTGCTCCAGTTTTCTCGCCTCAGCATGTCTTCAGAAGATGAAGTTGCCAGATGCCCCCGTCACGGTGTGTCGACACACATGTCTCCATCACAGACCATATAACTAATGTAAGTTAACATATGGTGTAAACATCTATCAGTGTCCAGACACTGATGTCTGAGAGTCAAACAATGGCCCGTGGATTGAACTTAGACCTTTTAGTTAAAGTTGGATCTGATGTGAATTTTTTTTAATGTTATTTTGAATCGGACTAAACCATTGTAGCGCTAATCACTCAACTAAAACCTTTCAGATTTTTAAAGTAGACATTTTTGGTGTTCAACTCCATCTTTAACCCAACTTGTCACAACACTGAGACCTGATTGTTCAAAACGAAAGTGAAAGTTCTCTACTTGTCACAACAAAACATGACCTGTGTATTTTACCCATCAGCAAAGTGAACAGTGAGCAGCTAAAGCCCACCCAGGGAGCAGTGTGTGGGGATGGTACCATGTACCAGGCGGAGCAGTGTGTGGGGATGGTACCATGTTCAGGGCACCTCTGTGGTAACTTGGCAGCTGGTGGACTCGAACCTGAAGCCTTCTGAACCCAAGTCCACTTCCTTAACCAGCAAGCCACCACTGTGACTACGCAACTTGACCAAAATGAAGTGAGATCAAGACAGTATTCAGTTTTAACACCAAGTTCGCTCCTGATGAACTACTACTTGTGGTTCACTATCTCGGCTTTCCAGTACATCTGTGTATATTTTATAAAGAAATATTCAGTGGTATGAACATGAACATGAGCAGCAGTAGAGCGTGCCACACACGCGTGTTCGCCCACAGACTACATATATACGGTCATGTTATTTCATGCCATACATGTAACACAAACACGTGCAGCGGCTTATGTTCGTAAGATGTCCAGTTGGTATTTACTGCAGTATTCAAACCTGGACAAGTCCATCTCTGATCTTTATCTCCATCATCATGACTTTGCTAATGAAAGCAGCCGTTCAGACCAGTTGGCCTGTGTTTACAAAGCCACTTTCTTAACATAAGCATGTGTGTTCAATCAGATGAACCCACCAGAATGGTTTCCATTTACAGAAGCTTCCCAGTTGCACCCGGTAAGAAACCCCCACCACATCCTAGCCACTAAGCCAAGGAAGAGCGCTGGGCACATTATGGCAGAAAGACATAATGCGTTTGCCAGTGATAATACTTTACTTTAACTACTTAACAGCTCTGAGGGTCTTGATAGGATAAACCTCATGTAACAACCTGAATGAAGAATGTGTCTGCCTGCGTCTGATGTGTTCTTTTTTCTTTCAAATCACTCCACTACATGGAGCTCAGTGCAATCACTGATCGCTTCGTGCATACATTGCATGCGCAGAAGAACATAAACGATCCACACAGATGTCTGTTGTGGAAAAAGGACACAAACAAATACATGAACCTAACCAGACAATTTGGGTGAAATCTCAGCAGTGGAAAAACATCCCTCATCTTATCCCTGTCTGAACCACAATCTCAGAAGCATGTTTACTGCCATGGAGCATCTCTATTAGACTGCAAGCCCGGTGGAAGACGAAGCAACGATTTATTGAACTTCTTGTAAAACGTCCATAGAAAATGATGTTTAATTTGGAATTTCCGGTAATTACAGCGATGATGGGAATATGGATTTGTTACTCGGAACAGTCAGCAGGAGCTAAGAAGAGAAAAGGTTTGGTTTGGAACAAGTCTCCAGGAGGATTAGTTCGATTAATGCTTTACAATAAGTCCAGTGTAAAAAGAAATCTGGTAACCTGGAATTTAAGTCTCTGAAGGGAAATGTCATTATATAATAATATCTCTGTCTGTAAACTGTCATTTCCGGTAAGCTACAGACATATGAAGGAAAAATGATCAGGAAAAAGCTTCAGTAATCCACAATAAAGATTAGCATCAAGTTCAGTGTAGCCTCAAAACATTTGAGAGCCAGCCATCCATCCATTCATCCATCCATCCATCCATCCATCCATTATTTCTCATCCATCCACCCATCCATCCATTATTTCTCATCCATCCATCCATCCAACCATCCATTTTTCATCTATCCTTTGATTATCCATTAACTGATTCACTATTTCTCCATGAATTAATCCATCCATCCATCCATCCATTCATCCATCCATCCATCCATTTTTCATCTATCCTTTGATTATCCATTAACTGATTCACTATTCATTCATTCTGATTCATTAATTAATCCATCTATCCATCCATCCATTCATCCATCCATTATTTCTCATCCATCCATCCATTTTTCATCTATCCTTTGATTATCCATTAACTGATTCACTATTCATTCATTCTGATTCATTAATTAATCCATCCATCCATCCATTTTTCATCTATCCTTTGATCATCCATTAACTGATTCACTATTTCTCCATGAATTAATCCATCCATCCATCCATCCATCCATCCATCCATCCATCCATCCATCCTCTTCTACGTTTCCCAATGTTTAACCATTGCTATTATGGGATATTTCTCTGCTCTCATTTGTTCAAACACTCAAAGCTCTTCTAAACTTTAAACGTTTAAAACCACCGTAAAAGTCTAAGAAAACTTGTTCTTAACTTACAAATTAGGAAATTCTATGAAAACAAGGCACGACATAACTAAATAGAAAGACACAGCTCAACAAGCAGTGGGAAGATGGACCACGGACGTATGCAGTAAGGTGAGAGCCAGACATGTGTGCCTTGTAGTTGAGGTTTGGCCTTTTGAGTGTCTCCTCTCCCTGACCCTGGCTGCCATACTGAAAAGCCATTCTGTCTGACTCTGCCTGGTAGAACAAATGTTGTTCAGAGCAGAACATGCTTGGCTTGTCTGCTGGTGTAAAATCACACTCCCTCTATCACACGTTCAAAGCAACGCTGCTTTCTCCATTAAAGGATTCCATGGAAAACTTGAGAATTCCTGCCAAGTTCCAGAAATCCCTGTTGAAGTATCAAGCTAGGGCTGATTTAAAACCTGCATGTATGTGTGCGTGTGTATGTTTGGGTGAGTTGTATGACTGAGATGCTCAAAAGGGAAAATACTGAGGAGAGCAGAGGAAAAGCTGCTGTTCTCTCTTTTTCCTAAACCGCAGAGTTGACGAAGATTCTGCCAAATTCTGTAAGAGTCGAACAGCTAGAGTGGTACCGAGAGGGAGAAACAACACACGGGCATTTCAGGGTGGGCTGCCACTGTAGGGTAATTGCCCTGGAAGTAATCACTGCCTTTCAGTATTGTACTGATGCCGTAGCGGTGTCTCAGCGGAGCGACCTGCGTGAGGGAACGCCTGGGACTTTCCACCTGAGCTGAGGGCACAGGAACAGAACAAAGCCTGTTTGAGGAAAACACTGTGTGCTCAGTTTGGAAACTGACTCACACCTAGGTCAGAGGTTTGGGATGTGAGGGCATGTTACATCAAGATCCATTAACATCAGCGTTGTGAAACCCAGCGCAGCTCCGAGGGATGGAATTCCACATTGTCTTTTATTTCATTGGAAGTCTACCTCTGTGTTTGTGTACAGAGAAGAAGCAGAGCCCCTGTGGTTAACTTCAGCAGTTTCCTCAACAGTCATCCACTCTGTGGTTCATCCAGCCTAATACCTAAGACGTGCAGACGATTGTGTTGATTACATCGCCATGGTAACAGCTTACCAGACATGTCCGTGTGATGTCATTCTGATAGACTCTTAATGAGCTGTTTTAATGTGACACATTGCAGGGTGGACTGGTACAGAGTGGACGTGATGTTACCCTGGGGATTATTCATGTCTAATCTTAAATCGGGTGTCAATCTGTGGCCGTTTTTTTTCTCTCTCACCTGCGACTTTGAATCACACATGAGTGAAGTTGTCAAATTGCTTTTCCAAGTCTCATTTAGCTACAAACAAAACTCTGAATGTTTTCCACCAGCATTTCATTTTCCATCCTGGCTGAATGTGTGTGAACGACAGACACATACACACACCGAGAAATGCTGATTCTTAACAAAAGCCATATGTTAAGCTTGAAGCGGTCGTCCAAGGAGACCGAGACTTGTGGCTCTGGGAGGACAGTGTACGTTTGTTAAGGCACATTTAGCATTCTGCTAAAACAACAAGGAATATTTTTCTTGCTGTTTTGATTCACTGTGACATTTTTTTTTGTCCTATTTTAAAATGTGCACGTTTCTATTCAATATGCAGTGTCATCTAATTCCTACAATTCCTCAAGAAACATCTGCTCACATCTTATTGTATTAGAACATTTTCCATCCCCGAGCTCAAACGAGTGAAACATCTGCTCACATCTTATTGTATTTTCCATCCCTGAGCTCAAACGAGCTTATTGATATTTAACCAAAACACACTTCACCACTAGATGCTGCTAGATGGCCCCTCACAATCATCCATTCATTAGGCTACTTCAACAGTTTAGCCATTGTTTAAGCTACGTCAGCTCTCGCTACTGGAAAACTTTTCCACATCCAGCTCTCTGTGGCAAATGCACACAGTTCTCATTTTCAATGTCAAGCATGCAGGAATGTATGAACACAATCACGAACAAAGACACACAACAGCGGAAAAGTCAAACTTTCCCCTTGGATTTACACACAGTATGCATGTCCCACTTTTTTCCTCTTCACACTCATGAATCACTGCAGTTACAAGTCACATCTAAGGATCTGGAGCGCTGAGGGTGTGATCCACATCATGTTCCTCCTGATGACAAAATCCTTCCCCTTGAGCAGACACTACTGCCAATAGTGAGACCCCATTTGTGCAAATCCCAGCAAAGACAGATGGAAGAAAATGAGCAGGGGAACAAAGAGAGTCCCACACATAGAGAGAAGAAAATGACTACGAATCAAGAAAAGACTTCACAGGCAGGAATTCATTCAAAGTATTTTTAGAGACATGTTAAAGTGAAGTTCAGTATTTATTCTTACCTTTCGACCAATCTGTCCTTTCTGTCCAACTGGGCCAATAATACCATGGTCTCCCTAGAGCAAAATATATATATATTTTTAATGGTCATAGCAGTTTATCAAAAATAATGAGGTTTTAAAATAGTGTCACATGCAACAAAGGAAAGGCTCTAAAACCTTATCTCCTTTCGGTGCTGGTCCAGGAGACATGCCAGGGTCCCCTTTTCTCCCCTTGAAAGAAAAGAAAACAAAAGAATCAAGCTCAGATCAGTCAAAGTCATACTTACTCACTGGTTCCAATAACAGCAACAACTGGTCATTGTATTAGGTAATTCAGTTGACCAGCTAACACCTGTCATTTGGTCTGCTGGCATTGTGACATTGGGGGTGAAATAGCAGACTAGAGAGCGATGAAAAGGCATTGACGAATTTAACCAGAAATAGTTTCAGATGTTTGTCTAAGCCCTACACCATGCGTCATTGTCATCAGGTAAGAATAACAGGGGCTCCAGCACTTCAAAGCTTTGGATCGGAAATGAGTCTGAGCTCCAAGCGTCGCTCCTCCTCCTCAGACCTATACTTTTACAACCTTGTTTCATTTGTTAGCGATGAAAGAGTAAAATTCATGGCACACCCTGGGAACATCAAACACTTCCCAATCAGTGCACCTGCCCTGTGGAAGAGGTCGGCACCGCCCCATTCTCATAAAGGCATCCACACTAGCACAGCAGTAATTGACCTTCTTCCTTTTTTTTTTTTACTTCATACAGAGTAATTTATGCAACACATTTCAGCACACTTTTATGTGGTTAAAAAAAAAACATTCCAATTTGTACGACTGTCAACAAATATATGGATAATATGGATTCATCACAATTAATCTAAGATGAATCAAAACTCCTTTTTTGTGTTATGTTGGAACAGAGAGACAGATAAAAACAGGTTATTTAACAGGAGAGTATGACACCTGTTTCATTTTGTGACTAATACGCAGAAGTAGAGTTAGACTTGTTGGACGTTAGTCATAACCGTGCATTAGACGGCGGCTTGTAGAACACGCCACAGTTGCTAGGGACTACGGTCCCTTGCAGTCCATTTTTACAGTCAGGCTGTCAGCTGTAGACCTGCTTATTGCCCTGCCATCTGTGAAGCTGGTCTGACATTGAAGACTCTGGCTTTGCGGTGGTATTTTATGCTCCTGTTGCTTTGGTGAAACTAAAACTTTTTTTCCGTTGGAAAATGAACACATGACAAACACTTGACATTGACTGTGTATCAAAGTGTCGTCAAGTGGAATTAAATCTGATTCACGAACCAATTAACGTAGTTAACGTGTTATTTTGACGGCCCCAGTAATTTAACTTCTTAAGATCTAGAGGTCCATGAAAAACAACTTTACTACAGACGTACAGGCCCCAAAACTGTTGTGCTGTAGAACATTTACTGCTCCCACAGCGTGAAGTTGACCAAACTTACATAAGACTGGTATCAGTCCTTCAATCTACTGTACATCTAGGCAGGAGAGCAACATATACGCATGTCCTGATCGTAAACGTTTCCAGTCCTAGGAGTCGTTCTCCTCTTCTGAGTATCCTAACACACTGGTTTTTCATGATTCTTGGTGTTTTAACGGACATAGAAGCAGCAGAGATTTGCTGTGAGTGAAGAAAAAATAGGAAGAAAATGTGTGAATTACAACTTTAAGACAACTACAAACACAGTCTATTTGGGTCTCATGGCTGTAGTAATGGAGGGGGCCAGTGTAATCCCAGTTGTCATTATATAAGGCATTTATATAATGTGCTTTAAACATAGGGGGCGCGTCCTGGCTGTGTACTTTGAGGACAAAGTGGCAGAGGTTAACTAAAGCACATATCAGGGCAAACGGAACGGGGGGGGATTTGTCTTTGGCCCAGACACCTTCCATTCACAAATTTATTTAGAAGTTGACTCTCTTTTTTTTTTGGACGCTATGAAGCTCTCTTGTTTTGCAAAAGTTATTTTTAAAACAGTTGGAGTTGGTAAAATGTTGGGGGTGTACAGCGCTGCAGATCACCTCAGTCTGTCCTGCTGGGCTTAACATCTGGTTCAGACTCAGTTTTAATGAAAAACTCTGATAACCAGCTACGCTTGAAAAACTCAAGTTTTAATGAAAAACTCTGATAACCAGAAAAACTCATTGCTAGTGACTTTATTTATGTAGTGAATTTCACCATAATCCTGAAAATGCAACACATGCTTATAATATTGGAGGTGTCAAATAAGTAACACAATCATGTCCAACTAACGTACGAAGGTCTTAATGAGTTCGAGTCACATGGATTCTTTTAGTTATTTAAGCAGGACTGTGTAGGATACCTTGAGTCCAGGTGGACCAGGTCGGCCGGGGTTTCCATGAGGACCGGGGGCACCCTGGCGAGGAGAGGAAAACAAAATTCAAACAGTGATTGTGCCCTCCATCAGTCTTCATTTGTGTGATAGAGCTGGCGATGACTGTGGCTACTGTGTATGTAAGTGCAGCAGGGAGAGGGGGCGAGGGAGGGCGGGGGGGAC